TTAGAGGCTTAGAGGCTTACAGGCTGCCTCCGGACATTAGAGGCTTAGAGGCTTAGAGGCTTACAGGCTGCCTCCAGACATTAGAGGCTTAGAGGCTTAGAGGCTTACAGGCTGCCTCCAGACATTAGAGGCTTAGAGGCTTAGAGGCTTACAGGCTGCCTCCAGACATTAGAGGCTTAGAGGCTTAGAGGCTTAGAGGCGTACAGGCTGCCTCCAGACATTAGAGGCTTAGAGGCTTAGAGGCTTACAGGCTGCCTCCAGACATTAGAGGCTTAGAGGCTTAGAGGCTGGCGACGAACTGGAACCCCCCCTCCCGCTACGATGTAATGTACTCTCTGGCAATCAAACATGGCCATAAAAATCCACCAGATGATTTTCCCATTCAACTGTCCATTTATGTGTACACACGCATACATATATATTAATTATATATATAATTATATATATATAATTATATATATATAATTATATATATATTAATCATATATATATATACATAATTATATATATAATTATATATATAATTATATATAATAGTTATCTGCAACTAGGGTACTTCCAAGCCAACCATTTTTAATTACCAAAGGGTATGAGCCACAATGCCGTTGAGGAGACCTACAAAATTAGGCATCGAGCCGAGGGGCGGGAGTGAATTCACAAGACATTTTGCAAGTGTTGTTAGCCAGTTCTTACATTCGAAGCACTTGGAAGCCTCCAGGTATTTCGCTCATGGAATTGGTGAAAAACAACCAGGGTATGTTGATGTATGTGGGTTATTTGACCGATTTGACCCTCTAAAACTATCTCAAATAATTATGAGGGTTTCTCCAGGATTTTTCCTGCAATCCCCGGGAAAATCGCCCGGTGGCAACGCCAGGCTTGACAAGGGCCTGTATGGAGCGGCCCTCTTGATACCTCAGCTTGCACGTGGGGAGATCCCAGCGGGGCGGACGCCTCATGGACTAATGTGGCACACCCCATGAGGATGTGGTAGGAGCGAGTAGCATATTAATGAGATAGGGATTAAGTATTTTGAGATATATAATCAGTATTATTAAGTATTATGAGATTAAGTTTATATATATATATAATTATATTCATCAGTTAAAAATGGGATAACTATGGAATAACAGAAGAACATGGAATAAATTCGGAATAACTACAATAGAGAATCACCAATTTCGGATCATTTTGCTTCATATTTAAGGGCCCCTATTTAGGAGGACCAGCCCCGCTGGTGACATCACAAAATCCCCTTGGTAGCCCGCCGCCGAGGTTCAGCAGGCTACCCGAAGAATCTGCTGATTCTTTGTCTCAGAAGCTACATCTTCTTGGTGGCACCTCGGCGAAACACCTGCATGGATCTGCATGGTGCTTTGAAAGCTGGGCAGCTGAATTTGGTTGAAACCTGGGGATATGTCGACAATTGTCGACATATCTCAGCCCTTGGCTACTTCGAAAATTGACACCTGGCAATGTGTGATTGTTGGTGCTCAAGTTGGGAAGAAAAAAAACGCTGGGTGGAACATGTCAACGCTCCATTTGAAGTGTTGTATTGGAAGGTCCGGATCCAACAGTTGGATGACCCACGTTGACCCAGTTTACATTGGCCCTTTGCGATTTTCAGAGTCGGCTGGCAGGCACACGCACAAAAAAACCAAGGTGAATTATGTTTGCCAAGTCCTGGTTTTATACATGTTCCTCAGCTGCAAAAAGTGTCACAGGTAGGTCATTCTCTGGCAAATACTCTGCGATTGACTTTTGGATTGGCTGAAGAAATTGTTGTTGGACATGTCAAATATAACATTTTGGGTTGGTCCAAGACTACAGCCTTGTTCAAAAAGGACTTGAGATGTTGAACTCTTGAGATTGAGGGGTACCCTATGGTTAGACAGCCCCTTAATTAAGGGCAATCAAAGGTGGCAATTGAATATCGCCCATTTATAGACGGTTTCCTCAAACATCTTCCCTGTCTGGTTCATTTATAGATGTTTTTTCCAGGCCAAACTTCAACCAATGGTTACCCTCTGGTAATGTATGAAATGACCCATTCATACGTTGATTTACCTATTAAAGATGGTGATTTTCAGCAAACTGTTAGCTTACCAGAGGGTAACTCATGGTAGTGGTGGTTTGGAACCCGGCTTCAATCAACCAGTGGCCCCCCCCGATGATGTGCAGCTGAGGATTGCCAAAGAAGAACTCATCTGGGATGCCTTTGCTGGTCAGTGCCTTGTTTTCTCAGCCCGCCGCTGCATTGGATGAAAACAGAAATTGCAAGGAACCGCTAAGTTGGACTTATCCAACTTGTAATGATGTGATTACATTATATCTTGTAATACATACATGTATATACCATTAGACGCCCACACACACATATATATATACACACACTCCAGTATGTACATATATACATATATAGTACATATTCATATAATTCCGTGTATATATATATAATATAGATGTTTGTTGATTTTGTTGTTATTACCGATATGATTTTTATTTCTTGCGGGTAGAAGCATTGCAGGTCTCTTCAACGGTGACCACCTCAATGGGTGTGTGGCACCGCCACGGAACCACCATATTTCCTCTTCCAGAGGCTTCCATTTTAGTCAGGCGAACCATGACATGAAATCCAGGTCCAAGAGTTTGTAGCTTAAACTTGTGAATCTCATTTTACAAAGGAATCATTTTAATCATGTTAGCCCATCATAAAAATCGCAGTGGCATTTTGTAAGAAAACATGATGAGCTTCATGACGTAGGGACAGAATATGACAGTATTCAAGCTCGTCCGTTTTTCAAGGTTGGCATTTCGTAGCTAAGGCCATTTTGGGAAAAAATGGAGCTCAGCAACCTCTTTCTATAGCCCCAAGCTTGTGAATAATTTTTGTAACCTACAGAGTTGGGTCACAACGTCTCCCTTGAAATTCGATGGGGGATAAAAAACATCATTTTATGGGGAAACCATGGGGAAATCATGGGGATAGTGTGGGATACAACACCCACAATATGATACTTGGCTGTGTCCAAAAGTTGATGTACCCCGAAATGGGTGTTTTTTTAAATTATCTCGAGACAATGAGAGACACTGAGAAACCATGAAATTTGGGGTGGCTTTCAGACAAACCACCATTTTGTGCTAAAAAACATTGAAAGACCTTGAAGCTGATTTCCGGTATATGTTCCCTTCGGCCAGTCCATGGTGCAAAACACTGAAATGGTGAGATGTTACCCACAACAATGTTTGGGTTTTACCCATTGACATGCGCTCTTTCGATTCCCTTGGTGTTTTTACGGCTTCTCTTCTTCATTCTGACAACTGGATGATGATCCCGCCGGTTGAGGATGGGTGAATTCAACCGAGGAAAGTTGGGGATGGGGTCCCCGACTCCAAATAAAAAGTTTAATTTGTGTTTTTTATCCTTTTCCTGAAGGTCATTCTTTTTGGGGCTTCTAATTTAGTTTCACTCTTCAATTGCCTATTGTTGCTCAATCTCCCCATTCTAGAAATTCTAGGTTTGAGTTTGATTCTCCCCTTCCATATCCTGCTTGAGGCACAGTCCTTTCCTCCGGCGTAGATTTTTTCCCGTGATGCCAAGGATGTTCCTTTGCGATTTCGGAAGCTGCCTAGCCGCAGATAACTCCAAATAGCGATACTCAAAACCCGTTTCCCTTCTTTTTGGCCGAAGATGTTTGAAACACGGCATATGAAGGATCAGAAACATTTGCGATCTGTGTGCATTTTTGAGTGTTTGTGTGCATTTGTAAGTCTATGTGTAACATCACACGTTAGTCTTTTTTTGTGCAGAAAAATCTTGACACGACTCTTGCGTCACACGAAACAATGGCACGGAATGATGGTGACAAATTCTTTCAGGAAATGCAGGTGATTGTCCCAACGGGCCGGACTGCGTAGGCCCAGGAGCAGCTGATGAATGCGGGGTGTTCTTTAAAAATCTTTAAATCTTCCTTTTTGATAGCGCCCGTCGCACTATTTTACGATATTTGAAGCGCAGGGTTTTGCCCAGCGACCGATCTATGGATGCAGCATTGCACACCATATTTTCAACGGGAATTCCAGGATCCTAAAATAGAGGTACTGTACCATATAAAGCAATATTTTGGGGATATATCCCCTTACATAGCCCTTACATAGGCCTTATATATGGTAAGTACCTCCAATTTAGGTACCTGAAGTGGCCATTGATATTTCAATATATTTCAAGCGCTGTATTGCAGTAGTTTATTGGGTGCCATGGCCTACCTGCATTCTCCAAATTATATTTGGGCACGCACACACATACCTGATTTATATATATATAATTTATAATGAGACGCACAGAGTATACCTGAATTTGAGGTATCGTAGTTTCAACGGTCGCAATTGCATCTACTTAGTGCATTGGTGTGATGGTAGTATCGTCTTGTACTTCGATTTGAGCCACGGCCACCGCAATTTTGTGTTGAGAAAGGATGGTAAAGCTGCTTGTAAATGCCATTCCCCCCATATTTTAACACCACATGCTATGGTCCCGAATGTGTAAATCCCTGACTAAACCATTGTTTTATAGGGTGTGATCCGATAAAGTTGGATTTCCCAGATTTTGCTGGACAATCTTTTACCCTTTGATATCCTTTGATGCTGCATGGTGACTTGTTGATGCTGTTAGCTGTTCTCCAAATGCTGCAGTCGACAAGTAGCACTTGGATCATTGGTAACGACACTGCGAGGAGGCACCATCTACGAACCCGCCCGAGTGTACAGTTGGGGCATCTGGTCCACTCGCGTCTTCGCGCCTTGGAGCAATGGAGCACCCAAAAAGATAAACGTCAAATATTGTCATATCCTACCCTCTGGTAATGGCTGACATAGCTATTGAAAAATGGCCATAGAAATAGTGGTTTTTCCCATTAAAAATAGTGATTTTCCATAGTTATGTTAGTTTACCAGAGGGTACTCTATCCTACTTATATAATCTTATATACATATACTGATTAATTGTTTGTCTATCTTTTTGGGGGACTATTTACCATGACATCCCCTTTCACTCGGATGTAGCATTTGTCCTCCCTGGGTAGCAGTGCTGCGTGCTGCGATACTGCCAAGGTGCGGGATGCATTGCTGGCAATCTTCCCAGAGAAGACCGAGGACATTCACAAGTTTGTAGACCCTGGCGAGCAGCCTGTTGGCAACGCATGTTACCCTCCGGTCACCAAACAGTTTGCTATTGAACATGGTGATAGTTAAATAGTTAATTTACCCACTAATAGCATGGTGATCTTCCATAGTTTTTTGTATGTTTTACCGTTTTACCCATTAAAAATATGGTATTTTCCAGTTCGCAAAAAGTGTAAACGTTTACCAGAGGCTAAATCACATATCAACATCCCAATTGGAGGATTTTTGTCGGTGGTTTTCTCCCGGTCGAGGTGAGGGGGGACGCTGTTGGTCAACGTTAACCAAAAAAACGATGGAAAGATCCACCATTTTTTTTTGGAACGGGTCAATCAACTATTTCGACTGGGCCATTTTCAATAGCAAACTGATAAACTATTTGTTTACGGGAGGGTATCTTGGATTCTAGGTCAATTGTCCGGCTCTTCCCCGAACTTCTTGTCTTCCTCATCTGCTTGCCTCCTCGCCAAGTCGAGAGAATGCACCATTTTTAATGCCAGGCAGAATTTGCCAGAATACCATCGTCAAAATGTATGTCACTAATAAAGATAACACAGTGTCAGAATATGTGCCAGGTAGAATGTCAGAAAATATGTCAGGATATATGCCAGATATACGGCCAGATAAAATGCTGATAGAATGTCGGTTGACGGGGGTTTCTCGAAGAAAGTAACTGTTTTCAATTGATCGCAGTTTCGGAAATTTATCCGGACTAGTATTTGGGCCATCTTCAGCAAATACAAGGGGGAGAAAGTGAATATCACTCTACCCCATTCCATCCACTGGAAATGATCATCTTCTTGATTCTTCAATTGCCATTTCCCTTCAAGGCAACAAAAAACACATATAATTCAGATAATAGTGATTAATATATATGTATATATATATAATATATATATATATAAATATCTATTTATCTATCTATCTCTCTCTCTCTCTCTATATGTATATATATATATACCCATCCTATCATCATATTAATACGTCCTTTTTTTTACTGAAATATATATAGAAATAATGAATATGACATCTGCTGACCAATCCCGCTATGCCATGAGTAATCTTATATGCATACATGCATGCACACACACACACATATATATATATATGTATACATATTTACTGGATGAATTACAACGACCTCACGTCGTGACGTCACTGGAATGATGATCAATTTTGTGGGGGATCATTCCAAAGGCCTTCTTTCATCTTCACTCAGGTATTTTCAGATTGTTTGTTCTAGATCATAATTCAGGTATATTCGGTTAGATATTTTCTTGAAAAAAAGCAGGAATTGTGAATGTGAATCTCACTTTTTAAGTTGAGGATGGTTGATGGCTTATTCTTGGGTTTGCCACATTATCACCTCCCGTCCCCAACCCCATCCCCAACACCCCACTTGGATATCCATCCCGTTTAGTAAGTGAGTGTTCTTATATATGGAATATTCCCAGGTGTATACGGCTTATTGTGAACCCCTGAAGTCAACATGGAACCCCAAAGGGTTGGTTGGCAAAATGACTGGCCTATTAGATATAGTCATAATTGTGGATTCCATATGAACTTTTGTGGGTAATAACCATCTAAAATAACATCAAATAACCAGCCTATTTCCTATATCTATACCACTTATGGCTTTTATGGCTTCTATCCTTAATTTCTAAATATTGGTGTGCTAACCTGGGCAGAAAAAGTCCGGACGAAATCTCTTCCAGGTATGGTCTGGAGAGCTACTGGTGTCGCTGGCTTTGCTGTGCTCTCTTCACCGCCACCTTGCTGGGTGACTTAGTGGGAAGCCGCTTGACCGAAAGAGGACTGAAAAACGCCTGGGATGGTGTTTGTGGTGAAAGCCCGCTAAAATGGTGTTTGGTTCAAAACGGGGGATAGCCACTGATGGCAGGGCTGGAAGGGGGAATGATAGCACATGAGAACTTTTGACAACGACAAAACTGGGGTGTAATTAGGTGTAAGACTATAAGACTGTGTAAGATTTAGAAACCATCATTTTATGGTGGAAGAATTGGTTATTTCCATGGTAAAGGTGAATCTTTGCCCTTCAATTTCACCCTTACTATCGCGGGGGTTGCTTGGCGCTTCAACAGAACGGAGGATCGAATGGGGATATCATGAATAGTGGGGGTTCCGAACATGCTATACATATGATTATGATGTAATGATAATTACTCGCTGCTGTAGTTTGCAAGACATGGATGAACTTCTGATGTTTACCGGATATCCATGGTTTAGCTCAGAAAAGTTCCGAGGTCTACCAGATTTTCAGGATATGAAATGATCGAACTCTTCATGTTTTTATGATTATTTGGGAGATTATTCTGACATTATCGAAATAGTCTTGTGATCCATTGATAACTTGCCTGTTTCCTGGGTGGGGGATGTCCCAACAGATAAACTCTACAATTTCAACAGGAAAATGGCAACATTAGGCTCTAGGTGCCAGCCATGCCAGCACTCGATTCTCCCTTGGCGGTCCCAGTCGCATTGCCATGGCATGAAGAGTTGTTGTATTCCCAATCTATGGGCCAATGGCATGTGAATGTGATCAAAATTTCACGATGCACTCCTCTCACATTCCAGGCCACGGTCAAAACATGTCAAACCATGTCAAACCATGTCAAAGCATGAACCACATTTGGGTGGACAATTTTTTTGCATCCATTTCAAAACAAACTTGATGTCCAGCTGCGCTTGAGATCCGCAGCCACGCTTGTGAGGCATCAACATGCTGCGGTCGCTTGTCCTTTGGTGTGGGTCGGAATCTCCAAGATCAAGGGGATGCCCCATGATTTTGTGATTTTGTGAAGATATGATACAGCTTGCAGATATATGCAGATATCACATGATACAAGAACCAAGACACCTCCACCAACATGGGTGTGTTGTGTTTAACTCTCTCTCTCTCTCTCTCTTTCCTCTCTTTCCTCTCTTTCCTCTCTTTCCTCTCTTTCCTCTCTTTCCTCTCTTTCCTCTCTTTCCTCTCTTTCCTCTCTTTCCTCTCTTTCCTCTCTTTCCTCTCTTTCCTCTCTCCCTCTCTCTCCATCCCTCCTCTATCCCTATACATATATATATATACACATAGCACAAGTTTGCAGTTTGCATATCTGTCGTATTACATCCGGCTTTATCTAAACTTCTCTGCGCATGGACGGGTCAGGGTCAGGGCCCCGGCTGGACGGCGATGCTCTCAGGATATTCTGGGACATCCCAAACAAGGCGCTGGAGTCAGTGAAACCATTGGAAACCACAAGGAACATCCCATGTGCCTTATTCAACTTCCTGGGTTATGCACGGAAAGGGACATGTGCCTGCATATATATATAATTATATATATACTGTATATATTTGTATATATACTGTATATATATATATACTATGTATGTATATAATGTTTAATTATGCTTTTGTACGTGTTATATGTACATATGCATACATGTGCGTGTGTGTGTGTATAATTGTATATATTTGATTATATTTGTATGTATGCATATATATATGTATAGCCCACCTGCGCCATTTGGCTGGGGGGATAGTCTGTGGCACCAGGCAGAGTGTTGGCTGGACTATGAAGTCCCTGAGTGGGCAGAGAAGGCGCTGTCAATGACGATTTTGGGCGGGGAGAGTCAGTACGCCCCTGAAGTAGGGCTCACCTTTAGGGCCATAGGGCGTCTGCTCAGGAGCATGCCAAAGCGATTCACAACTGGTCGGAAGTGGCTGCTCAGCTGAAACCATGAGAGTGCCTGTTGACTGCTTTAGCCTATCATGTAAATTCATCAAACTCATGCGGGAAGCAGTGCAGTTCGTCTTGTTTACTAGAGTGGGAGAAGGAGAAATTCAGGCTTCGCGTTGTCACACGTTGTCACACGTTGTCACACAGAAACTGATTGTTCTTGCCACTTGAAGAACCGCAACAGGATCTTGGCAGATCCTTGGAAAAGTCATGTTGGATTTCAAGGGGTGGTTGTTTCAACAGTGTGCTCTTAGGCTTGATGAAAGAACCTGAACATCAGCGACGGTTGTGGTACTATCATTGGGATTAAAATCAACCATGGCCAAAAAACTGATCTGATTTCTGTTTTTCCTGAATGACCATCCACGGATATTGATAGTCAATATTCATTGATGTCCCCGTTTTTGAAGGCTCCCTAACATGTTACTTAGCCACACTTGCTGCTTGTCACTTCCCATCTTTTACCCTCTGGTAATTTAACGTAGCTATGGAAAATCACCATTTTTAATGGGAAAACTCACTATAAATGGCCATTTTCCATAGCTATGTCAGCCATTACCAGAGGGTAACTTGGGATTTATAAAATACATCAACCAGACACAGCCAGAACCTTGGACGCCGTGGACCATCGCCAGGATCTTTGCAAACTGAAGATTGTGGCATGACGGCACTGGGAGTGAAGCGAGTGAAGCGTTTGTTGGTAACTCCAAGGACCAACAAAATTGAAAGTTGAGTGTAAAGCTGGTCATCTGGGTGCAACGTATGTGCGGTTTACAGTGGAGAGACCGTTTGAGCTATATATATAATTATATACTCTGTGTGTGTTTGTTATGATATACATATGAAGGTGCTCGTAAAAAAAATGTGCTCGTACGCATGATAATATGTATATCCCTTTCTTTCTTTCTTTCTGAAGCCTGCCTGCAATTGTCTATGACATGGTTCTTCCTGCTTGCCGGCAGATGATGGATTTTGATGCATTTTGCATTGAGACACACATGCCAAGCTCTTTGAACGTGACATTGGTCGTCAACCTAAAAGGATTTGCTAGCTCCGCAGGCGTTCCCGAAGTGAGGTTACGCTTAAACGGACGGTAACGACATTTAAATATGTGGAGGGCGGGGAAAGACCACAAGGCCCCGGAGATAGTTTGCAACACCAGTTCCATCCGTATATTTGAATGTATATTTGAGTAATTTGGATTCCGTATGTTTAAATGGCTGGGCGGGCCAAGGAAAACCTTCCCGGAGGTAGTCTAAAATATCAGTTCGTACATGAACAAATCCGTATATTTAGATGTAGTTTCTGGAGGGTTTCTTCTCGTAGCCATCCTTTTCCCAGAAAGGGCAATCTGTATCAAACTGTCACAAAATGGACAAAAAATGGTAAATGATGCCAAACCACAAAAAAACAGTATTTTCCGTCTCAATATTTTGATGCATTGAAAGTTGTACATAGTTGTAGCAGGGTTTGGGGAAGCAAGAGCGGGATGACTTCCATGGCCATGAGTCATGGTGGCTTCACTCAGCTCACCATGTACTGCCTGGGGATTCGTTGAGGCCGGAATGCCCCTTCACTGGAAGCAGCTTGGTTGGATTTCCACCAGGACCACCAAGATGATCGCTGTATGGTCAGATCCCAATTATGGGGTTGTAAGCCGCTTTATATAATTGTATACAACTATAATATATAATATTCCTATATAGTTATATTCCTTGAGGAGCTTGAGGGTTCATGCCAACATACAGTTTATTACCTAGCTGAACACACACATGGGACTAACATTTGCAGTCTCCAACAGGATGAGTGTCTGAAGGTCATTGGGGGAGGTGGAAAGTGATGATGAAAACTATGGCGAAGTAAACCATACCCTCTGGTAATGCAACGTAGCTATTGAAAATGACAATTTATAGTGGATTTTCCCATTAAAAATGGTGATTTTCCATAGTTATGTTAGTTCACCAGAGGGTAAACCATAGATAAAGAGATGCCATCTGATACGCTTAGGGATCGAGGACTTGCAAATCAGTCCAGAATTATTCGGGACAGAAGATCCAAATACATCATTCAGATTCAGGCCTCCCATTTCGGTGATCCTCCAGTAGAATCAATAGATGCTTGAGATTCGCCCTTTTGGTTTGGTTGATGGTTAAGAACCCCAGATCAAACCAACCCCAAACAGGTTACGGGGTCACCTTAAGAGTGGCATAGGCCACCCTTCAGCCAGCCATTTAGCACATAGTTTCTGTATTGCTCACCTTTTTTCACTTTTCACTCCAAGCATCAGGCATTTCGGTTTGTGTGAAAAAATGGTGCTGCTGGATCTACTATATGGTTACTCAATTTTTCCAAATTAAAATAGCAATCTCTGTATCCCATTTTTAGGTACCACCCCGAAATATCATATCCAGATGGCTTCAAATACCCCACAGAATATCCCCATCATGTTCCTATTGTTGGCTGGCTTACCCTCTGGTAATTTAACATAGCTATTGAAAATTGTCATTTTGATTGGGAAAACTCACTATAAATGGCCATGTTCAATAGCTATTTTGACATAACCAGAGGGTAACCAACACTTTTGATATGCTTGGTGTTGTTTTTCTGCCGATATAAATTGCGTTGAATCCTCTGATTTCCCGCACCCATAAAGTCCTATCAAAGCCATGAAACTCGTCCCATGATATCCCCAATGCTATAGGTCTATAGTAGTATGAATCCCATATATATATATATATATTATATATATAATAATATATATAATAATATATATATATCTATCTAAATTTTATATGAATGTCCATGAAATTCGCTTGGAAGCCAAGTCAGACTTAACTTAGTCCGTCTCCAAGAATCTCATCCTTTCCCGAGGCTCATCAATTTGTTTGTCATTGTGCTTCCCAAGTTGGGTATATGGATCCTGACCGCGCAGTCGGGCATCACCTTTCTGATGGCCAGACGGAACGGGAGATTGCTGGGAACATTACATATATCACATATACGTATATATGTATGTATTTTTACACAGTGTAGAGAATAATAATAGTAATAATGATCATCATAATAATAATGATAATAATAATTATATTGTATTTAATAATAGTGATATTAAAAATGATAATAACCATAAATAACAATAATAAATAATGATAATAGTAATAATAGTATATAATACTAGTGATACTAGTACTACTAATAATAATAGTAATCATAACAAAAATATAACAAAAATATATATGATAAATCAATGTTCATAATAGTAATGATAATAATAATGATGATAATAATAATAATTATATATATGTATATATATATATATACATGTACATATATGTACATATATGTATATATGCGCATGATGCACATACCTACGCCGTAACGCTGGCCGGGAACCCAAACTATTTGGCAGCTATAAACTGTGGTTACCCGCTGAAAGTTCTCAGGCATAGATGGTTCATCTACATGTTGCAGGGGCACGCATGGGCCTATCCTGTATCATGATTCGCAGAAATCTAGTGTGGGTCCGGAAACACAACAACAGCCAAATACAGAATCACTAGAACCACTAGAATCACTAGAATGATCTGTTGCTATGTTTTTACCATGTCTGACATCGAAGCTAGGATGCAGACAAGTGATGTATGACATCCCTCAATGGCACTGCCGGAAAATCAGGTCCCCAGCCTGAGCCGACTCCGAGAGTTTAGGGCTCGGCGCAAAATCTCATGTCCAATGCCGTATTCATGTACTAAATGATGGGAGTAATAGTGTGTAACATCATGTAATCAATACTGTGTAATGGTTTGATATTTTGAAGATTTTGAACATCAGTTTTGAAATAAGTTTTGTGTAAAACCAATGGTGTTGGCAATACCATGTAATACCGTGTAATACCACCCCAGGCCGACCCAAAAGATGGGTGTTGATGTATGGGACATGCCAAACTGCCCCCACCGTTTGTGGACAACTGTGCCTGCCAGGAAACTTCAGCGATTGATGACATTGTGGCCGCTGGGCGGCAATGACCACGCCCCATAAATGAACATAAATGATAGGTAAAACTGAGGGCAAGTATCCCTATGTATCCCTTAACATGGCTAAAACTTGCAAATATTTTATTTTTTTGAGAATCAATATTTAAATTCACGTACATACATATATAATATATACATAATTAATCAGAATTATACATACATGTGTGTGTGTGAATCTTCTTCCCCCAGAATCTGCAGTTGGGCTTCACGATCGCCAGAGCAACCCCCCTTTCGAACAACCCCCGGCTACTCGGAGCAGGCTTTCTCTCTGACGCCAAGAATGCCATATGTATTGGATTGTTATGGGTGAAACGTGGTTACATATTCATAGTATTTCATAGTGAAACTGGATCTCTGTGAAAATCTCACAGCCTCCAGTGGTTGCAGTGGATCCCAAGGGTTCGCGGGTTAAACCAGCGATTTCTAAATCATCCCCCCAGCTCCCCCTGCGATGTATCGGAGAAGATTCATGGGAAAGCTGTCAAAGTAGGGAATGATCAGAGATTCAAAATGTGAGGTAAGCCTTTTTTTTGGGGGGGTTGGGGGGTTGTGCTTGTTGACACCTCTCAAATTGGTAAATGGGATGTGGTGAATGTGCTCGTAAGACGAATAAAAAACCCTCTTTTTTTCAGGGTGAAAACAGGCTTCGAAAAGCTTCCCCTCCCAACTGACCTTTTTAATTTGGATGACTTGAGGTCCTACATGACTTAGGGACCCCTATGGATGCATATGGCGCGTGTCCATGGTCATGCGGAGCATTGATCCTTTGGGCTTCAGCATTGCACCAAATGTGTTGCTTATGTCGCTGATATCCTTTGAATAATCCCATCACCCAAATATTAAACACCCCCCTTGGTTTCCCCATGGTTTAGTAGGGAATTTCCGTAAATTTCCAAAGTCAACTGGCACCATTTGGGGGAAGTGGAAGGGATTATCCACATTCCAGTTGGCGATTGTGAGGTCAATTCAGTGGCCCTGGCGTTCATCTTGCAGATTGATGAGTTGTTATGCAGTGAACTCATGTCGGGGCCCAGGTGATCTTCAGCCGGGTGGATTTGGGAGGCAACTTTTTGTCCCACAAGTTGGTTGAAACCCAGAAGTCACCAAAATTCCATAAGATCTTGGAACCAAACCCTGAAGTCAATGAGTAAAAAAGAGTCTGAAGCAGTTGCAGTGGCGGTCAGTCGGCTTGATCTCCAGTTTTTACAAAGTGACTTTGTCCAAGTTTTTGGGGAAGAGCTTGGATTCTTCAAAATGACACATGGGTGAAACAGCTATAAACAGCTAGCGAACTCGCTCACCCAGTTGGAACGTTTTCTTCGTGCGAACATCATCTCACAATGATTCAAAGTGTCCAAATGTTACATGTCCACTGCTTCATTCGGGCAAAAAATCCACAGATTTCCACATCATCCATTCCGAAAGTCCACTTTTCTCAGAGATCCACCATGATCCACGACCTCGTCCGCCGAGGTCGGACACCACCAAGACCCTCTTGGCATCTCGGCGGGCACGGCACTCTTCAGGGCTGTTGTGATTCCCAGCGACCGCTGAGGAAATGGTGGAAGACTATGAATTGCAGGGCTTTGAAGAGGCGATTTGGGGGGGATTCCTCTGAGCTGAGGAGATACTCCCATTTAGTCCCTGTGGTTTTAGACTGTGAAGACAATCAATTACCCTCTGGTTATGACTAACATAGCCATGGGAAATGGCCTATTTATAGATGGCTTTCCTATTAAAAATGATGATTTTCCATGGCTATGTTAAATAACCAGATGGTATATAAATAAACATCCACATCAACAAGTATATGAATTGTTTAAAGAATATCTGCACATATGCATGCCATATTGATATAAGCACATGTTTGGCAACACGCAGGCATACACACAAGACCACACAAGCACGCGCGCAATATGTGTATATATATAATATAGAGATGACTTTAGATATGTATGTATATGTGTATGTGTGTGTAGTGCATATGGTTTACATAGATTGTTTGTGGAATTTCGATAGATAAGAGAAGTAGATGTTGTAGACCTGCATGAAACATTCATGTAACCTTTTGCACATGTATATCTTTCCTTCAGGCCGACGTCACAAGTCGTCGGCATCGGATCATCGATCCTGCCAGGCCAATAGGGTGGAAGACATGAGAGACGAAGATGTGTTGCAGGAGCGCTTGCTGGTGACGAATGAATGACTCACTTGGTGGATTTGATTAGTTTCAAGATCACACACACATGTATATAATATATATATATATATATTATACTATATATATATATGTATATTTATTTATTTATGTGAATATATCCCTCTCTCTCTCTCTCTGTATCTGTATCTGTATATAAACGAACATCTAAAGAACCTAGAACAGGAGAAGTGGGGTCATACTGGTTCTATCCGGATTTTTCGGAGCCGGGGCAGGGGCGGCGGCACGGGAGGAGTACGAGTCGCACTTGGACACGCACTGGTCCTTCCTGGAGATCATTTTCCTGATCCCCTACAAGCTGGTGGTGGTGCTCTTGTCCCTAAGCCAAATCCCGGGCCACTTGAGGATTTACCCTTGATTTTACAGGAAATTCAATGGGATGATGATGATGATGACAATGGTGATGATGATGATGGTGATGATGATGCTGGTGGTGATGGTGGTGATGGTGATGGTGATGGTGATGGTGGTGATGATGGTTGATGATGATGATGATGGTGATGATGATGATGATGATGATGGTGATGGTGATGGTGATGGTGGTGATGAGCATGATGATGATGATGGTGATGATGATGATGGTGATGGTGATGGTGATGGTGGTGATGAGGATAATGATGATGATGGGTGATGGTGATGGTGATGGCGATGCTGATGAGGATGATGATGATGATGGTGATGGTGATGATGATGATTGTGGTGGTGGTGGTGGTGATGATGATGGTGATGGTGATGGTGATGGTGATGATGGTGATGGTGATGGTGATGATGATGGTGATGATCATGATGATGGTGATGGTGATGGTGATGATGATGATGGTGATGATGATGATGCTGATGATGGTGATGGTGGTGGTGATGGTGATGATGATGATGATGGTGGTGCTGATGGTGATGATGATGATGCTGATGATGATGATGGTGATGGTGATGGTGATGATGATGATGCTGATGATGATGATGATGGTGATGGTGATGGTGATGATGATGGTGGTGATGATGATGATGGTGATGGTGATGGTGATGGTGATGATGATGATGATGATGATTATGATGATGATGGTGGTGGTGGTGATGGTGATGGTGATGGTGATGATGATGCTGATGATGATGATGGTGATGGTGATGATGATGATGATGGTGATGGTGATGATGATGATTATGGTGATGGTGATGATGATGGTGGTGAAGAAGATGATGGTGATGGTGATGGTGGTGATGATGGTGATCATGATGATGATGGTGATGATGATGATGATGCTGGTGGTGATGGTGATGGTGGTGATGATGGTTGATGATGATGATGATTGACGGATGGATTTTCGTTGGTTACGTTGCACCTGCGGCAGCTGCGGGATACCGTGGAAGGTGGCTGCCATGGCAGTCTTTCCCCACCGATGGTCATGGTGTATAGAACCAACCATGAGGCTGAAATCCACGTAGAACTCGAGGAAAACCTGATTTCGAACATCACAATCTATTATAAATATTATATGCTGATCAGATTGTACTATAGACTATAAAGCATGTTAAACAACATGAACGCAATATGGAGAGTATACAGATAATATGCATATACACTTAATATCAATAGGAGGCCCATGGTTTTTCCGGCGACCGACGGCATCCCATCTCTGTGACCAGAGCTCCGCCCAGGTTCACCGTGTTGTTCGTCGAAATGCCTGGAAACCCAGCAATGGCCCGTGTCGTCGCAACCATCCCAGAGGGTTTATGACACGTGGTTTCGAAAAACGCCCAAGGATAATGTGAAATGAAATTTGGGTTTGTGAAATTGGGGATGTTGTCTTTTTTTTGGGATATGCATGATAAGGATGACGTTCATTATGGCGCCCCTTTACGATTGGTCGATCAAATGAATGGACGTACTACAAAGCCAGAGACCCTAGTGGTGTATTTGTGATGTATATAATATATTATATTGATGTGGTTTACGGTTTGCTATTTGTTTTCTTTCATTTTGAAAGCTTGACAACTCCGAAAACCAAATTTACCATGGGGCCAACTGGTTTTGGAGCTCCCCAATGCCAATGTTCAGAAAGCAGCTGGCTGATCCAGAGCTTGTGTGGCATGGCATTGCGCCGATCCTGGGCAGGTACTACTTCACACATTGCATCAAGAGTGAGGATGGCGGTTGGGTTTCGAGAGAAATGCGCTATCCCTTGAGTACCCACTTCAGCGGCTTGCCAGCGCAGGATTTGTCCAAAGAGTTTCACCAGGATTTGGCCCCCTTCAAGGTGATCCCACAACGAAAAGGGCGGATTCACCAGCTATCATTTGGGGGATTCACCTTTGGAGGGTTTGGTTACCACATGATGTTTGTTTCCCCTTGCCGATGGCCATTAAGAATGCTTCAAGTTGAGGAATGTTGAGGGTTAGTGTCGCCGGCCCTGGTAACCTGCTCGGGTTGTTAAGGAGACATCAGGGGTCCCTGCACCCTACCCCTATCATCCCCTATCGGGGTCCTGTGATGTTTTCTGAGGTTTCCTTTGTGTCGGGACCTTAGTCATCACGGCATGGTTGATGTGGTGCTAGTTGATATTCTTCTTGGACCTATGTTGTAATGATTTTGTCTGATATTGTAGGCCCATTTTGACTAGGTTGAAACGTTCGCTGCGCTGAGGCATTCTTCAGCCCCTTCTTGAAGCTTCTTGGGCAGCAGAAGAGTTTTATTTATTTGGCACTACTTCTGGGTTACACCAGCGCTTGTTGCGTTTGCAAGGAATCCTGCTGGCTAACGATACCCATACTTCTTGGTTCTATTGACTTATCCTCATTTGGAGATAAGGCACTCTGAAAATAGCAGATCCGCGTTCAAATCAAGGTTTCTGTTTTTTTTTCATCCTCTCATTCTCAAGGTGAAAACCGTTTTTACAACACATAGTTGGATGAATTTGGATGAAGAGAACATTGACAGGCCCCCCCAGCCCCATATTGTATGCCAAAAGTCATGCTGTCCTGCAGACTTCCCCTAAATCGACGCGGTGATTCGACTAGATATTGTTTTCTTTGGGGGGTGGTTGTTGGTTCAATCAGCATGATTCAGTGTTAAATGGTTGGATTCCTAATTCAATCAAATACAGCCATCCTTCCCAAGTTCTGGTTCTGACCATTCTACATGTTCCATACTATTCCATGTAGTTCCATATATGGGTTTGTCTGAAAATAGTGTACCCCTAAACCCAATGGTTTTGCTGATCATTATCCCTACTAAATGGCTATAATTGGGGGTATACCCCATTTTCAGACATACCCATATAGTTCCACAATTGTTCCACAATTGTTCCATCCTACTTGGGATGATCAAACACCAAGGCCACCCACCGAGAACGAGCCGTTTTGGCAGATGCCGGCACCGCACCCTCCATGACGATGAAAAAAGCACAGAAGGGGCGTTCACGATTTCAAGACATGAGCCATTTGATTGGGGCCAGCATTTTTGAAGGCTTTCATTTTTTAATTCTTAACTGGCGACAATTTTTTTTTGTTCTTGGTGTGCCTTCCAGGTAATGTCCAATTAGTACAGACTAGAACCTGCCATGGAGAACTTCTGAATACTTCTCACCTTCGAATCTTTGGCCGAAAATGGCGCCAGAATTCGAGATTTCCCCAAGCTGCATTTCTCAACACGTTGGATCTGAACACCTTCTGACGTGATTTGCGCGTGCCACAGACTTCAGAAAAAATCAAAAAATACATATTTGCATCATGCGGGAAGTGTTTCTTGCCATTTGGAAGGGGTGCCCATGGGTGCCCTCAGACATTGCTTGCATCAAGTTGTATCAAGTTGTATCAACTTACATCAAGCTTCCAAGGAAATGCCTTCAAACCACCGGATCAGGAAGCAGCAAAACCAGCTGGCAAACTTCCAGTCTGGTGACCGAATGATCCACCACGATCCCGGTTCGGAAAAAATTGGTCCGTACCTGGGGTTGCTGTGGTCCTAAATCTATGGTGGTAAATGGTGGTAAATATGGTGTCATATTATGATCAAGCTATATATGCAACATCGACAAAGACAAAGACAACGAAGCGGATGGTGATGATGCGCTTGCTGGCGGGTTTCGTTCACAATGGGTATGTGTAATGATTCCGCCTTCATTGAGCCCTTGAGCCTGAATTCTTTATAGTACCTTCCCCGATCATGTCATATCACGCTATGTCCATCAACTAAATCAATTCAAACCGGGAATTATCCATCTGGTTTTTACATGTTTTACAAAATGGCACAGCATTTTTGAACATGACCACCCTATCACCCAAGGTTTACCAGCCTTTTCTTGAGCGCAGGGGAGTATTATCACAATCCTTCCACGGGCGTGTCGATTTGGGAGAATCCGACCCACTGCACCACGCAGCTCAGTTGAAACAGCTCAGTTGGCAGCTGGTCATGAGATTCTTGGGATGGCAATGGGACTAATGGGACTTCAACAGGTGCATCCGCTAGCTGTTTTCTTTTTTTTTTTACATATATTTTTTACCTTTCTGAACCTACCTCTCCAGAATTGGTTGATGGGACACTTTACATGAACCCCAGAGTTTGTATTACTATGATATGGGGTAAAAAACTATAGATGTCCATTTCTTCTGGCCAACAGCAATCCAACAGAACAGAACGAAGGAATACACTCATGCTATCTCATGCTTGGCTTTATTCTACCACAAATTCGATGAACATCACTAACATATATTAATTATCATATCTCATCTTAGACGAGTCAAGGATAGTTAAACTGCTTGGTGGTTTGGAACACTTGGATCATTTTTCCATATATTGGGAATAATGATCCCAACTAACTACCCTCTGGTCATTTAACATAGCTATGGAAAAGTTGCACATTTATAGTTACTATGGGTTGAAACCACCACTGCCCGAGGTTCATCCTCTCGGTGGCGGAGCAGCTCCAGGAATCGGACGCCTTTCCCCAGAGCGGCTCGCAACGCGTTGGGACGGATGACCATAGAAGGAGTTTTTTACGATGTTTTATGATTACATTAAGCATGGCAACTATAATATACATAATATAGATATAATATAACATTATATATATATATAGATAATTATAATATATAATAATCTGATAGAATATATACAATTATTGTTAATGATCATAACTACTTATAGGTTTTTTTCCCCACCTGCCAGCCTGCCAGCCTACGAAATATGAGAATTCAGCCTCAGGTCTTTGGAAGGCACGTCGTCGCGAGGCGCGGACGACGGTAGGAAGTAGATGGTAAGCCAGGCTTGTCCTCAGGTGATCTGCATGCACATGTGTATTATATATATATATATTCTGTGTAATTAAACGTGTTATCTGTTATATACATTTTTTTTCCTGTAGATATGGCTAAAGATATTTCTATTTGTCTTTGATATGCATTCACCTTTGAAGAACCTACTACTTGCATCTGATATTGCTAGTGTGAGCCTACGTATATCTATCCAGTCACTGTATAATTCTATCACTCAGTAGGTAAGTAAAGGGTTTTGCTCCCTTCCCCTTTATCACTAAACACTCCACACCAAAAAAACTGGTTTAGCACTGGCCTTACTACTACTATGGGGGTGGGACCGTATTACATGATCAATCATGATTACTTTCTTCCAAAAACTGTTTCTTGAGTGAACAAATTGCCTTAAACTCGGAAATCAGCCAGTTTCCTGCTGATTTACTCAACCACACTACTCAACACCATGAATACCTTGGCAAAATAAAGTATAAGTATATTGGTTTAAGCCCATGGTTTTCATTGGTTTTCCATAGAACCATGGTCATAAAACACCATACGCGCACACACAGAGTATATACATGTTTATCTACCATACTATATTACTTATAACTTATATTCATAGTACATTAATGTCCATTTTTTATCAATTTGACTAGGCTACCTAGACTACCAGACCGCCTCGCCCAGGATGGTCGGCTTCCAAAACGCATGGGAAAGGCCATGGAAGACCCCTGGACGTCGCTGGACAAGCTGGTTGCGCGGCTGCAGCTGATTCCCTGGATCCCTCATGATCCCTCCAGAGTCACGTGAAAAAAGCACGCAAAAATGTCGTTTTGACCGATTTTTACACCGGGAATTTGGGGAAATTCATGGTGAAATCGAGGTTTTTCATCCATTTTCTGGGTTCCAGAAAAGAGTTTTCAGGAGAGGGGAGAAGAAGTTCCAAAGTCATGATGGTTGTTGATGATGGAATAGTTACTATAGTTGGATGCCCATACCAGAAATACTGTGACACCCCAGACATGACAGAGGATATCCCATAGTAACGTACTGGACTTGCTTAGATGATCACGTCGCTTCGTCACGTTGCAAGGGTGCCAATACTGCGTGGTAAATCTGCTGACTGTACTCATCACTGGACAAGATGCGAAGTATACTTCCCACATGTTCCCAATTTTTTGGGGCGAAACACTGGGAGTATACGATGGTTGACAAAGGACGTCAATCTTTCAGTTTCGGAACCTTAGTTTCCCTTCCCAGGGGTGAGGATTGCATGTCGCAATGAGGAAGCCATGAGTGGTCCAAGTGGTGCTACCCAGGAAGCGGAAGTGCTGCCGACAGCCCTGTTGTTGGATGTTTCTATCGATATGCAAAACACCTCATTTACATGATTGTTTTGTATGTATGTGTGTATGCATTTTCTGTGTGTATGCATTTTTTGTATATATATATATATGTATATGTGTGTGTGTGTCTACATGTATATATGTAATTACGCATTATGTTTGTGTGCATACACAGGTGTATTATGTCGTATCCAGTTCCATTTTGGATCAGGGAGTCATATTCACTCATGATGTCAGCCGGAAGACGTCTCCATGGCCCGCAGGACATGGATATCGAAGCTTTCCTTGGATCCCTGGCTCAGGTGCCAATAAGACCCCAAAATCATTGGTGACATATAGTGGTTGGAGCGTAGCCTTCCACCCCCAACAAGAACTTCAATCTTCCACAAAAATAGCTAAAAGAGAAAAAACTCCAAACACCTAAGAAAAACCCGACACAACCCAACCCTTTCCTTGCCCCTTCCCTTGACGCGGCAGGCGCCCACGAGTGACCCCACGTCGCCTAGTGGTAGCGGCCCAGTACAGCTGGTAGCGACGAGTCCAAAGGCTCCGCGCTTGAAAGACGTGCGCAGCTGGCAGCCCCAAGTGCCCAGGTGGGGGATCCCGCCCCCAGGGCCCCAGGGGCTGGGAAGATGATGGGATGATTGTGGAAGAGCTGGTGATGAAAATATTTTTTTTTGGAAGTTTTTTTTTTTGTATGTTGGAGGAACGTTGAGTTGAAGGGAAAATGAAGGGGCATGGAAGAAGTGAGGGGGCTTGGAGATTTTGGATTCATCGAAGTTCAGCCGCTCAAAACTGATGATTTGTTGAGGGTCATCATAGACGTGCCAGGTTCGATGCAGGGAAACTTTCGGCCGAGGCCGGAAAATGATGATGGTTTGGCGGGGCAGGGGCGATTTTCTCGGCGAAATGGGTGTGCCTGAAAATGGGGTAGATCCAAAATGGCAACTCTAAAATGGGAAATTATCATTTGCCAGTAAATGTTGGTATACAAACCCATACCTTGCCAATATAATATGATATAAATTATATAATTATTTTTTTTTTAAATAGCCACTATTTTAGAGACATGTACAATGATTGATAGTTTCAGTGCTTCTTCCCCAGTTAAGATGATAATTGTTGGATGAATGTTGAAACCATCGGCTTGGACGATAATTTGTTATTTATAGTTTCCTATGGTATAGATGGCCCATGAATTTAAGGTGAATTACCTATTAAGATTGATGCTTTTCCATATCAAACTGTTAAATTGCCAGAGGGGCACATTGTTTTTCATCCAAAGATGGTGGGCCTTTCTTTTTCTTCGCAGGGGGGGGTCTCAAAGACGTCGAGGGTGAGGAACCCACGTTTTTTTCGTTGGGGGATGTTGGGGCTTCCAGTTTTCCCATCAACTGGGGGGTTCCAAATTATATCATATATTTTGAAACCATATGTTTTCATATAGTTTCATATAGTTAGTTTCATATATTTTCATATATTTTCATGGATTTTCATATATATATATATTATATTCCAACATATTTTATATTTTCATATATTTTCTCCATCCCTACCCAAGTAATCCCCTCAAATCATGATGACACCACCCAGAAATCCTGGATCCGAAAAAGGACGGATTATGTAGTCATGATCATGGGATGGGATGATATATGATTATATAATATTATTCACTGTGATATTATATTATATATGTACCCTCTGGTTATGACTAACATAGCCATGGAAAATCACCATTTTTAATAGGTAAACCCAGGTAAACCATCTATTTCTATGGGCCATTTTCCATGGCTATGTTAAATAACCAGATGGTATATCACATCACATATCCATTCATATCTGGTATAACTAACCTCATTTTCGTAGGTAAACTTACCAGATATTACCTGTCTTCATAGGTGAATCCACCATTCGCAGACGCACCGAAAAGTCATAGGTGAGTTCCACCTCAAGATCGCCTCTGAAGAAGAGGGATGTTCCATTCAGGTGCTGGGGGACATGTAGGATTACATAGGTCCACGTATATATATATATATATAGTATATCATATCTATATATATATAGATTTATGTATTTACATATGCACACAGTCAAAATGCTGTATAAATGTAGGTGTGAGACGCAGCGACCTCATTGGCCGCTGCACTTCCAGATGGTAAGTGCATTGAATGTTTAAACGCCATGAAAGTGCCATAGATATGTATATATATATATAGTATGATTACATATAATGTCAATGTGATATAAATAATTAAATGAACATAATATAAGCATATTTATATATGCATATTTTTATATGCACATATATATATTATTCAATATTATTCATTTATTTACTTATATTGTTTATCTATTTATTAATTTAAAGTATCTTAGTGGCAATTATGCCATAGTTGATTCTTCATGTCAATGTGATTTGGATTACCTAGCTGTTGTTGACAAATCCAATGTTTTTTTTTGTGGTTTGTGTGTTGAAATGTCTTGGGGAAAGGGCACCGTATGTCAAACGGTCAAGGGGCACCATTTTGGAACGTGCTGGGCACCATTAAAAAAACGTACCGTAGTGGCAACATTTGGTTGTTCCTAAAACTTCTACATGCTGAGGTGGTAAATGACCCCATACTTCAGTGGGGTGAAGACCCAGAAATCAGAGTCACCCTGGAATCAACGATCAGCCAACTGAGTTGTTGCGTCATGCCGTTGCAACACCACCTTTGTTGGCCAAATCATGTTGAATTCCCATTAAAACTCCATTTTTCCGAGTGAAATCCCCACTAGAAAAAGCTACACGGAGGTTTGAATCAAGATAATTTCAAAAATCGGAATCAGCTTTTTTGATCTCCATCATCTATTTTCATGGAGGATCTTCCATTAAATCTGGGTAAATTATATCGACCTCACTGCGACCTCACTGGGAATCATAGTTAGTAAGGGGAATCATCCCCAAATGGCCTTAATTCAGGTTAGTGAACTATTATAATTTACCCAGCTTAAATTATTAAATATCATCCTCCATAGCAGCTGAGAAGATCCTCCAGTGGCTTTTTTCTCCTTCAGGCCGGAGGCCCAGGGCTCTTCAGAGGCCGGAACCAGTGGCTTCCGCAACGAACGAGTTGCCGGGGGGGAGGAGTTTCACCAGCAACGAGGGTTGATTTGGCACCAAAATGGTGGTTTTACATTGCTCAAGTGATAAACCATGTGTTTTGCATAGTTTCAACATGTTTCACCGTCCTGCAAGGGTGATATCATATGAAATGCCACCCATGACAGAGCCCCCAAATTCATGAAGAAGTCCAGTACATTCCACCAGGGTTTCATTTGGTCGGTATTCAATTGCATTATCGTTGATGTGCACATGCTAAATGCAGACTAGTGTTTACCTTCCTATTGCATACAAAATGCCTGTGTATGCCAAAACATATGTATATGATTGTATATGTGTATATGCATATATATGTATGTATAAAATCCCATCCCCCTAACATCAATATTGTATACCTGCTAGATTTCCTGGTTAGTACCCGCCCTATTCATTTTGGGGCCCATATAGGGGCTCTTAACATTGAGAGGGGATGGGATCATATTAATATATATATGTCTATTTTTATATCTACATATCATTTTGATATGTATGTATATATGTATATATGTGTGTGTGTACATATATGCATATATATATATATGTATGTATGTACATGTATAGTATGTATATGTATGTGTATATGTATTTGTATATGTATTTGTATATGTAAATGTAAATGTACATGTATATGTATATATATATGTATATGTATGTGTATAAAGATATATGTATATATATATGCATATGTATATGTACGTGTATGTGTATATGTATATGTACGTGTATATGTATTTAGATATACACATGCATTTATCACCATATATGTCCATCATATGTACATATATAATATTGTGTCTATAACATGTACGCATATGTATATTTGCTTATATATTTTTTTTACTTGTTTACATACAATTTATATAATTTGCCCAAAAACGGAGCATTCCATTTTCTAAAGCATAGAAATTGATGGATAGATAGATAGATAGATAGATAGATAGATAGGATAGATAGATAGATAGATAGATAGATATATATATATTATGTATATACTATGTGCACACCACATACACTGTATTTGGTTTCAAGTTGTCTCCGTACCCGGGTCGGGCAGGCGAAGGTTGGAGATGTTCGCGGATGGTCGCCTGCTCCAGTGAGGTTCGCTGTGGCTTTGAAGCCATGTTTTTCCAGAAGTTTCAGACACATCCAAATGATTTAAATGGTGGAGGCTGAAGGGGACACAATCTTCCATCATTTTCCTGGAATATCATTTCCCAATATTTCCCACATATGGTTATTTCCATAAATGGGGGTCCCCAAAATTAGGGACAATCCTACTAACATGGATTTGGGGGTACCCCTAGGAAACCTCGATATCATTTTCCATAGCTTTCAGTTTCCATACCCTCTGGTAAACATACAAAAAGCTATTGAAAATGGCCATTTATAGTTGATTTACCCATTAAAAATGGTGATGTTCTATAGTTATGTTAGTTTACCAGAGGGTATCATATAATTTCACAGCACAGTTCCCCCCCCATTGTCAAGACACGAGCCAGGTTTGACGGCAATTTGGGGGAGATGACGTCTCCGACCAGGTGAGGCTCTGCGAAATCATCCAGTCGTCATGGATGACCGGATGACCAATTTACAATTAAGACCCTATGGATCCCTATGGTGACTTGGGCATCCATCATTTTAGGAAACTTCGGTGGATTTCCATATGTTTGCTTAATATTTACTGAATATTTACTTAACATTTACTTAATGAATACTATACTTAATATTTACTTAATATTTACTTATACTGTATGTATATAATATATTTAAATATAGTCTTTAATATATATATATATATAATATAATAGATAATATATAGTACATATATATAATGTATATAATATGCCCTCTGACAATCAAATCTGGCAATGGACAATTCCCTATGCATGGACGGTTTAAAAGGTGGATTGTCTAGCTAGTCATGTTTGATTGCCATCGCCAGGGAGGGACAGCTACGCACTTCTGCCGAGGCTGGATAACTGGGGCAACTTTGCGATTTGTGGTTAGGAACTGGGGGTATCTCCTTATATTATTACGCACAGTTACATGGATTTTCTTTCTGGAGTTCCCCTTGCTAACCACGAATCGCGAATTCTGATAAGGGTACTAACCTGCCCACCCCCTTAACCCTTGATTTCACAGGGGTGGGGATCTTAAAACATGTAATTTACATTTTACCCGACGTTTTTTTAAATGTGAACCATCCTAAATGGGAGCTTTATTGAATTTGGTTTGCAAGACACTGGTGGCTAAAACAGCTTCACTCCCCCGTGACCTAGGTAGCTTGGAGGATCCCTGGAACCAGTCATGGTGTAAGCTGATTCCAACCCGCATACTGTATCAACATGTGCCAACACTTATATATATTGAAAACATAATCCTCAAATTGTGCTGCTAAAGGCTCCATTTTTATCAAAGCTCCTTCTTTGTTGATTAAACACCCCTACTTTCACAAGAGGTAGCAACGTGTTCAAACCCACATACTAACCGTTCGGCTGGGTAAACCTTGGATTGGCAGTTTCATAGGATTTATAATCTTTCGCAATTTTCCTGCTGGTCTACGCTACGCAGCCAATTTTGTCTTTCAAGAAATAATCCAGGGCAAGATTGGCATTCAGTATTCGAAGTAGTCACATCTGTATCCCCATTAATTCTTGTATATATATATATATACATATATATACATATGTACAAAAAAAAGGCCATTTGGTCACAAAACATGGCAATGCAAAATCCCCTGTTTATAGAGGATTTCCCCCCCCATTTCGTGTAGGTGATTTCCCCGCCAGCTATGTTTGGCACCAGATATGTTGAGGATTGATTTGCCATAAAATGTCAAATTGTCTAGTGGCTGGGGGTTGAAAAACTATAACTATGGTTGTTCAACCAGAATTACTTAGGATGATCGTTTGAGATGACTAATGTTTTTTGGGGACGTGTTAAAAACACCAACCAGTCGACTCAGTCTGAGTTTGGTCAATTCTCCCAATTTCCAGGGACCCCAGCAGCCCATTTGGAACCCGCGTTTCACTAAGGTTGGCGGTCAAGCTGAGGCAGAAGCTGCCCCAGTGCCACCACAGCCGGAGCCCCTGGGGCCTGATGGCCAGGGATGAGGACATAAGTAAGGGAATATAAGGTGACACAATGGAATACCGTAGAGCAAGTACAATGGCATAATGTAAGGGGATACAACCGGATATTTAAGGGTGGATAGTAATCAACAATATGATATTTGGGTTTTCAATGGTTTTCAGGACAACATGACATCCATTTTTTGCAGCGTTGATTGGCGGCATCCATTGGAATTCGGATAACTAGCTTAGTTTTGGACGACCAGATAGTGGAACTGGAGGTTACAACCACCAGAGTGGGGCCACTAACATGATCAACTGATGGCTTTAAAGCAGGCAAAATTGAGAGTTGACCAGCCAGATATGGTGAGATGACATGATATCTTGCATTGCTTTTTCTAGTCAGTCATTATGGGAGCAGGGCCGGAAATCCTGTTTTTTTTCGCTGGGAAACCGAGCAACTGGGCTCACGGGGCGCCCTCTGGAGGGCACCAATTTTGGTGAAACACGCCCAAAATAAAAGAACCAAGTCATCCTCAAATCCGACAGACAGATTTACTACATGGCTAAGTTGGTCAGCTTTCGAAAGAACGCGCGGTTGTCCTTGGCCCTGAGGGTGGATGAGCTTCGGGCTGGAGTCTCAAAGTCCACAGGGTCCTGGGATGGTCTCGAAGATGGAAACAAATTCCGGTACCATCTGGTTATGACTGACATAGCCATGGTATAAATGGCCCATAGAAATAGATGGTTTAAACGGTTTACCGTTCTTAAAAATGGTGGATCTTTCCATGGCAAACTCTTAGTCGTAACCAGGTGGTGCCCCCAAGCACAGCCATTTGAACTCGGATCAGTTTCTCCAAGGTGTCAGCGCCTGACCCAGAGGAGGCCGTGGCGGCCCCCATGCCGCCCTGATGTCGGCCCATCCGAAGGCCCAGCCACCCAGTCGACGGCTGAGGTGATTTTCTGACACGACTTCAGCCAGTTTCCCATGGGTATATCGTTGACTGATCAGATTTGTGTGGGTCTTTGAGGTAGGTCTTTGTGGGTATTCTGTGTTGGGTCTCTTCGTGGGTTCGTGGGACTGGGTTCGTGGGAGGGGCCCACTGGCGTGATCCAAAGTTCATCTGTTCCATGGCCCAACGGCCACTGCGCGACATGTTTCACTGGCTGATGGAGGCTGTGTCTGACAGATGGCAGCTTCATCCTGTTGGTCTTGAATCGAAGGACTAGTTGAGTATTCAAGTTTTATTGTTCAACTACCCTCTGGTAACATGGGCTTGCTGGAAAACCACCATGCAGATCGATGATAGCTCTGATTTTCCCACGGAACTGCTCAGGATATTTCTTGGGGATTTCCCAGCGGCCCGTCATGTTTGATTACTGGAGGGTTTTGTTGAAGGCACAGCTGAGTCGGCCATCCTCGAGTTTCCAATGGCGGATGACAGCCTTTCCGCTACTCTCCTGCCAGAAGGGAGTTGTGTGATTCGCAACTGCGCAGATTTGGGTGCAACATTGAGCCATTGACCCGAAAACCAACGGGAGCTGAGAAATTGTCCCCAACCTCTTGCTCCATGCAGCCCCCCAAAAAGCATCCAAGAAAATCAGTCGCCTGACTCTTGAGACACACCGCAGTTGCACGTCCCTGTACCCTACCGCCGGTCAGTGCTAAACGGCCGACCGCGGAACTGCCAAAATGAGGGGATGGCAGTAGCCACCCATTCCTGGTCATTGGCAATTGGGGATGGTTGCCGGGTTTACCACATTGGAAAACCATCCAATTTGAAGATATGCAAAGCAAATGGTTGGGCATACCCAACCATTTGCGTCAAGTTTTGCCACATTTGGCAGCGATATCGTTGGGTGATACCCTTCTCCGAAACAGCCAGAAGTCACCCATAGGGCATCTGGTTTCAGACTGGGAACCGGATCAGGAAGACGGATGTTCCTGTTTCTCGTAAGGCCACAGGGTATATAAACCCCATTAGTTTGCAGTTTGTAAGCACATGTCATGTGATAAGGATGGATAAGGGTGAATGGGATACACAACCGGACCATAAAATCAACATTTCCAGGAGAAAATAAGAGAAAATCAGACAAACATACTATGCAAACATCAATGCATCTGGAATCAGCTGCTGTTGCAATGTAATCTTTAGGTTTCAATTTCTGGCTCCCGCCACTGTTTTGCCGCTCTGTCATCTTTGGCTCAGCTTTTTCCGATGCGAAAGCGGGGCGCGTTTTTTCGACCCTGAAGGGGTTAAGAGGCAGCCAGGGTTTCCTGAGGCATCTCCAACCATCATAATATACAATTTTTGTTTCCCGGCAGCCGGCCGGCACCGGCCGGTGCTGCTAGATTGGCCAGTGGTCTCACAAGAGGGGCAGCTACAATACTTGCATTGGCAGTTAGACTACGTTGTTATTAGAGATGAATAGGGATGATGAGATGATGATGATGATGATGATTATTATTATTTTTTATTACTGTAATTATATACTATATTATCATTATTAGCAAATATTAGGGGAAACCTTTCAACCAAGTAGTGTAATGAGCGGGATAGGGGTGTCTTTAATGTTTCAATTCATTTTCATATATGTTCAATTATTTATTTTCATACATTCTCAATGTCCCTGCATAGCTCAGATGGCAGCTGGCGAGCATGTGATGGACATGGATTTGATTTCAACATATTTTGTACTTCTTGCGCTTGCTGATGATACTTGCGGCCCTACTTTCTATCCCTTATGTACCTTCTGGTAATTTGTTCCAGCTAGCTATGGTATAGATGGCACATTTACGGATGATCTACCATGATCTACCTAAGAAAATCCTATTTGAAATGATCATTGTCATTGATTTTCCATAGTTATGTCACATGTCCATTAAAGACGATGTTTTTCATTGAATTTCCATAGCTATGTCAATTAAACCTGCTGATGATTCTCCACAAACTGTCGCAACGATGTGACACATTACCGGAGGAGATGGTGTTTCCATCGACATTTTTTTTCAGGCCATGCCCCCGCGGCGCCCAGGCCCTGGGAATGATGGATGGTTATCATAGGTATGACTCATGATTCTGCCGTGAGATGTTGTGATGGTGAACGGAGGATATCAATGGATTATACATGATATACCCTCTGGTAAAATAACATAACTATTGAAAATCACCATTTTTAATGGGAAAATCCACTATAAATGGTCATTTTCAATAGCAAACTGTTAAATTACCAGAGGGTATAATTCAGAGAACATACATTTATGATATTTATTTTCTCGCACACACATTTACATCATATAACATCAGCTCCATGCGTAAAGCCTGGGGAGCCTTCCACCTTGCCACAGGTGGGAAGTACAAGGGCCTGGTCACCCGCACTAAGAGCGATGTTCGGAAACCTGGTCCCTCCAAGTTGGGAAATCATGACCAGCCGATGGTAAGGGGAAACATCCCCAAAAGTGTCCCAAAACTCTGTTGATTAGGATGATTCGTGGGGATAGTAAGGGTTCGGAAGTTGCTGGTATATTCAACATTATTCAACAACTGTCTCAAGCCTAAACTATGCAATTTAGGAGTGATATGGACAGATTACTGGATATGCTGCTTGATTTCATGTATTTGTTCTTTTCCAATATTTGTCATGCTTGGGACGATGATCCCACTTGAATTACTCTTGTGGAATTTTGCCTGACACTGGAAGATTGCTGGGGCAGATAGAGTATGGCATGTTCGAGAACAAACCACGACATCGGTTATTTTTTAAACATTCCATATTCTATCTACTTCAGTATTGATGATGATGATGATGACGAATATTATGATGATGATGATGATGATGATAGAATTCTACATACAATCTCTTCTTGCCTTTTTGCCACTTGAAACCATTTAGGCAGATATTTGCACATGTTGGACACCTGGTATCTTCCCATATCTTCCCATTTCAGAAATTGGATTGTCCTCCACCACCCTGGCCTCCGGTGGAAAATGAGGCCGTGCTGGCAGCGGAAGCGAATGCCAGGGTCCGGGCGCCTTAAACGGCGTCATTTTTCAGGGTGGAAGAACCATCGAAAATGGGATGAAACATGATGAAACGTGGTGATATATTGTTTTTGAATGTTTTTGGGACCGGGAATATGTTATGGGATATTTTCACCAAAGGTATCATATGGTGTGTCCATCATTTTGCGTTTTCATTGACGATCAGCCCACTGAATATGATGGAAACCTATGGGGCCCAGCTGTCGAACTTTGGGTTTCCTGCTCGCCTCAGCATAGGCCAAGAAGCGCCAAGAGGACGTCATTAAGAGGCCATTGGTCGCCAGATTTGGGAGTTGAGGGAGAAGAACTTGGGCATCTTCATTTATCCTCTGGTAATTTAACAGTTTGCTAGATAATATTATATAGACAATGACAAATGACAATAATTGTTAATAGGTAAATGAAGTATAAATGAACCGTTTTCCATAGAGTCCATAGCTATGCTGAATTACCCAGAGAGGAAATCATCAGGGGAAGACCTGAAGCATCAAGGATTCTGGAAGATCTTGATGTTGGGTATCCTGCTCCAATCGGCGGTTGCCAAAAACGGAGTGGTAAAGGATGATATATATATATGTATATATATATACACCTTTGGCAATCAAACATGGCACAACATGGAGGTTTTGATGGGAATTCATCTATTAATGATATGATGATATCATGATAACTTTTAATGAGTATGCAAATTATGCTTGATAGTCAATGGGTATGTCTATGGACAAATGATACGGTTTGGTAATTTGACACTGCTACGATTTGTCGATGGCCCATTTCGTTTGACGGTTCGATAATTTATTTACCAAAATTGGTGATTTCTCAGTGCAAACAGTTACCCTCTAGTTATTTAACATAGCCATGGTATAGATGGCCCATTTATAGTTGGTTTACCGTTCTTAAAAATGGTGATTTTCCATGGCTATGTTAAAGAACCAGACTTCAAACGACATCCGTAGAGTTCCACTTCCTGAGACTCAGGGCTGCGATGAGAAAACAGAAACAGCTCATGGCCCCTGGTCTGCAAACCTTTTCCCCCTTTTTGAGATCCCGAAAAATAACTATGTACCCTCTGGTAAATAAACATAGACCCTGAAAATAACCAATTTTTAATGGAAGCTAATCTTCCAACCCCTATCTGGCAGGGTCTACGTTAATTTTCTAGAGGGTAATGGTGATTTAAGGGGAGCCAATAATATTAGGGATAATGAAATAGTCTGGAGATAAGGGCGGGGCATTGTTGTGGGCTTCAATGGGAACAGAACATACGTACATGCATACCTACCTACGTACGTACGTATGTACGTACGTACATACATCCATGCATCCATCCATGCATGCATGCATCCATACACACACATATATATATATAGAACGGGAATATCATAGGGGTTAATCATGTTCGATCGGGTTTTACCAACTAAAGATTAGGGATATACATATATATATAATATATATATACACGCATCTGTATACAATGGGATGTACAGCCGGCTTGGAATGATGTATGGGTGTCAATGACGATTTGGAATGGGAATGGATGTGGACCCTGGAGTGGTTTTTAATGCCAAAATATGGGATGGACGTCTTGAAAACGGCCGGCAGCATTCCCACTTGTTTTATATCCCTTCAAACTCCCACGTAAACGTAAATTTGACCCATGCTCATCACGAAGATAGCGAGATCTCCCATGAAACAAGCATGAAAAGTCGGATCCATCTTCGCAAAATCTGAAAGTCTTCCATCTTCCTAAACTTAAATCTGGATTTTGCCAATTTTTGCCACATGTTTTTTTCCACATTTCAAAAAAGGCGTCCATCTCCATGTCGCCCAGCTCTTTCGCCCAAGGACCGCGAGGGCGTTGGACATGAAGTCGCTGATCCTGAAGAGGCATTCCGCTGTTTTTTTAAATTATATATTCTGCCTACGAAAAGAAAGGATCAACATCTGATACAAAGTTGGGTTAATACCATCTGGTTATTTAACATAGCCATGGAAAATGGCCCATAGAAATAGATGGTTTACCTGGGTTTACCTATTAGAAATTGTGATTTTCCATGGCTATGTTATATAAATAACAAGATGGTAGAATATATCAACATTCAGCTGATATCATATGGGTTAATAATGGTTTATATATCTGATATGGGATAGTACCAGCAATATTTATTGGGTTAACCAATGGGTTATCCACCAATGAATGGGAGGATCAACTTGCCCTAATGATCGCCACACCATGCAGCGCAAGCGCGCTGGAGATCGCGGTTAAATGGGGCTTAAGCATCAATGATTCCATGGCTATAGTCAGGAGGGGTACCCCCAGCTGGAACGATTTCTTGGGTGACTGGAACTATTTGAGATATGACTAGAGCTATATTTGAAAATGTTAAACCGATTCAGAAAACCATACAGAACTATATTGCTAACAACATGTCAAGAACTATGTATATACACGTTTGCCAAAAAATGGCAAGAACTGTATCAACTTTTGGCCAAATCTTGCCACGATCATACTAGCTTCAAACTCAAATAGTGAATCTTAAATCACTACAGTGCTTGGCAATGCTGTGAGCTAAATGGGGAAGCATGAAGACAACCCAAAACATGTCTTGTTCAACCCAACCTGTAATAGTTTGTTCTTGGCATCATGCCAACATTAAAAGTTGATTGTTGAAACAAGATGGTATGAAGTGTGACGGTACTATGCTTTGATATCCGCATCATGCCTTCGGGAAGGTATTTTTGTTGATACTTAGACCTATTTAAAAAAAAAACAAACAAACATGTTTTTCGCCGGCAAAATGGGAGTTGTAGAAATTTGACCTGCCCAGACTCAGACATCAGGAGAAGCGGCAAAGAATTCTGAACCTCTTGATGGGAGGTCTGATCGGTGAGGTTTTGTGAAAAGCTGTGGATGGATCAGCAAGTAATGGGATCGTGGGAAAATCATTGGGATATATTGAGATATATGATATGTATTGGATATTGCATGATATTACATATATCATATCCTATCATTTATATGAAATATCCTATCAAATATGATATTACATGCTACATGCATTTGATTTTGAGAAACTAGCAGCAAGAAAATGGGTGATTTGGGTATCAAATTCCAACCATTTCATGGGGACATCATGGGAGTCTTAACGGGGATTGAATGTTGTTCCTTCAGATGGACCGAGAACTGGTTAAAGCTCGTAACAACAAAGGCCCACCAAAAAAAATAGAGCCATACCTATCAATATATGTATACATATATACATATAATATATATATATATACATGTATGTATATATGTATACATATATATATATATGTATATACATATATATATATATGTATATATATATATGTATGTATATATATATATGTATATATATATGTATATATACAAATATATGTATCATTATTTTTATATTTACTATTATAGGTATATGGGCACCACGCAATGTTGTACTATTGTTATTATGGTTAGTATTGTTGCTACATGTTTTTCTCTTCAATCATTATCGCTATCACTCTTGTCAGGAGCTTGCACAAATAAATCAGTAAATGTATATGGGTAAATTCTAATATGTCACTAGCTGTTTAAATCTGGTTAACCTGAGAAAAGGCTATTTGGGATTGTCATCCTTACATTCACCATCATTCCATCAATGAATTGGATGATGGGAAAATTTACAGAAAAGCCCTATATTTGATGGTAAAATCTATGGTTTCCTGTAAATTTTCCCTTCAACCAATCCATTGATTCCAGTGACGTCACGGTTTTTTCAGGTCGTAGGGGCGATGCGCTGAAGTTCTTCCAAGCCTGGAGGAAAGGAGCCGCGCAGCAACGCAAGGCCGGCCGAGAAGTCGGGGGCACCGCCCTCGGCTGGGAGGCAGCGAACCCGGGCAGATCTTCTCATTGATATAGGCATATATAGGGATGGATCGTCATTATAGAACCAAATTCCTTATATATATATATAAATATAAATATTATATATAAATATTATATAACATATATATATAACATATATATATAACATATATATATATATATAACACACACACACACATATATATATATATAAATGATAATATACGTATATATATAATTACTGCGATGCCGGGGCCAGGCTAAAGGTAAAATCATAAAGGGATTAAAGGGATTTATAAATACACACTATATGTATCCAACTGTATGAATAAGGGATCCACGATGGTGATATGAAGACGATGAAATTGCAGGGACAAGGTGATCTAATAGTAATTTTCCATACGGCTATGGATCAAAACCTGTTATTACCATATTTGGGAGGATCGCCATTCATTAACCACCTATTTTAGGGTACCATCCGAGTACCAGGGTTTTGACCCCCATTTTTCTATTTTTTTTTTGTATTTCGGGGAGGTGAGCGCCTGACTTCCGAGGAAATGAAAATCCACGAGCGTGAAATTGGCTGGCGCAGGAACTGTAATGGAATGGTCCGGGGGCCTGGGATGCCGTGCTCACCCTGTGATGGTTGACCACCTTGAGTGATGGCGTGGTAGGCGTAGCATGTGAAAAATTGCTGCATTTCAAGTACCCTCTGGTAATTTCTGACATAGCTATTGAAAATGGTGATTTATAGTGGATTTACCCATGGAACATGGTGATTTTACATAGTTTTTTGTATGTTTACCAGAGGGTATGTTCCAAGATATGTCCAAACATGATTAATTAATGTGACATGACTCTTGTTTTGGACTATGGTAATCCCTAGAGTTTATGGGGAATTTATCCCCCGAAGGTGCGTCATTTGGGTGCCACCAACCTCGTGGTGACCCCTTATATGTTGCTTGATAAATCCCATTGACCTTTGATATATCTGCCATACATCCCAGTGATAGAACCAACTTCTCGGGAATCAAAGCTGGAAAATCCACCATTTTCGCAGCTTGTCATGTCTGCTCTGAGGATCCGGAGTTCCCCAAGAACTGCAACGGCATGAAGCAGCGCGGCATCTCAGGATGTCGGTAGCGCATGGCGATGTTGAATCAGGAGCCCCCAAACAGCTAGAAACCAAAACAACAGGATGGTACACTGGTACAGGTGATAACGGTGATAATGTTCAACTTCTCCACCTATTTGTTGGCCAACTTATGTCAAGTTAGTTATATATATATGTGTGTGTGTGAGCGTATATGTATTTATATAAGCATAACATAGGCCTACTGTGTGTAATGAACTGGTTGGTGATGTCATGCTTATGGTCTTCCATCATTATGGGTCCAAATTGGGTATTCTTTGTTTGTCCAACCTTGCAAAACGGAACATCCCGGATTGGTGGGTAATTGATTGTAATGGATTGTTTACTAGAGAATTGATTCATCTACAAGTCTATATCGATGCATATGTATGCACATATGCATGTAAAGACGCACATACATGCATGATGCATGAACACGCAAATGCATGCATGCGTTCTCCGTACATACAGTACCTTACTTTGCAATGCTTTACATTCCATTACTCTTACATTCACATTTTGCATTACTGAACATTACTTGCACATACTTGCACTACAGACATACATGCATGCATACATACAGGCGGACATACATACTAATACATGTAGGATTGGATGGTTGGAGCGGTGACCAAAAACCAATTTGGACTCATAGCCTTCCAATTCCCATCACACATGGTTTTGTTTTCCATTGATGGTCTGAAAAAACATCGCAACACCAGAAAGTGGTCACTGCTACATATAATCCCTTTGCATTCGTTCGCATCTTGACTTTGATCATTTTTCTTCAAGAACTATAGTTCTAAAATGACCATCATTTCTCAATTTTCTCACCATGTCTGAACGCTCTTCAATTTCTCTGGAAAACAAGGCTCCTGCCTAGCAGCCTGACGCTTCCTCTGAACAACTTCCTAGAGTTGGACACGGGTCAGCGGTCAAGCGGGTCAAGCGGGTGCTTGGGACAAGCTGGAGGACAACCCCAAGAATTGAGAAACACTCATTAGATCCTATTAGATCCTAGTTTACCATAGGAAACGCCTGGACACTTTAAGTTGAAACCTACGATTCAACCAAGAGTCCGTCACGGCCCCCGAATTTTTTTTTGGTCCTCTTTCGTGTGGCTGTGAGGGTGCGCATGCAGAGTTGATCAAAAAAGCTTCCCACCACCAACATCCACTGCAGGCGATGTTGACAATTTCCGCGCATCCAGAGGGCTCTTGCACTCAGTGATAGGGAGCAGTTGTGCGTGCGCGGCAGGGGCCAGGCGAAACTGTGGATGGGGCGACATATGATCCCAAAATGATATTGTTTAAAGTCTTTCCACAGTCTCACCCCTTCAATAAGAAACCCTCCTGCGCGCCTAAAATTGAACAGATTCGGTAGTGAGCCAGTACCAAAGCAGAGTTTTTTTGGTGGCATGTTTCATCATTCATTTTCACTAGGAAGCCAATAGACCCCGACGACTCACCTGGTGTTTTGGCAACAAGACTGATATCGTGAGGAAACATGTGTAAAACCAATAAGACACCATCCCCAATTGGGGTTTATGACCTATTCGGGGTTTATATATATATATATAATTCAACCCACCGAATTAAGGTTGAACTTGTTTTAATGGAGCCAGCAATGAACCACCCCCAGTAGTAAGATATAGTACCTAGTATAATAACACATAGTAACATGAAATGCCCTCTGGTAATTTAACATAATTAGCTATCGAAAATGGCCATAGAAATAGTTGATTTACCCATTAAACATGGTGATTTTCCATAGCTATCTTAGTTTACCAGAGGGTAGTGATTTTGTGGTGGCCGGCATTGATGTGAGCAGTGGCTGCGATCTACCCCTGGTTGATGACCAATTCAAGGATCATACGCCGGTATGTTTACCAGAGGGTAACAATCCCCAGGTCGTTTACCTCATGACTTTTCTTAACGCCGTGGCCGTCGTCGAAAAACAAAAAAGGCGCGACTACCGTATGGGACTCTCCGGAATGTCGGACAAGCTGAAGCACCTCGGCTGACGCCAAGATGTCCCAAGTCTGGGTTAGCCCTGGAAAGTTGAGTCGTTTAGTACGAAAAATAGGATGTTTCCACAAAAAATGTATTGTCTCATGATATTGAATAGGATCTACATGGATTTCCTAATCCTTCATCAACCTTGGGTGGCCAGTATTGTATACGTTAGTCTGTAAATGTTGCTATGAGGAGGGATCCATGAGCCTACCCAGCGAGGAAACAAGATTGCAGGGTATGATTGGCCATGAATTTCTGCGCTAATTTACAGGAAGCATGCGAAAATAAGGGGCAAATACACATGAATTGGAGATAGACTCAGATAGACGGAGGGTAGAGTAAACTACTTGGATTTCAAAGAGGTTTTTTATTGAGGATGGTGATGTTCTATTGCCATCTTTGTTTGCCGGGGTTGGACCTAGCAAGGACCTAGCACATCGATTCTTAGTAGGCCAGTGCTTTTTGGGATGGAACCCATTGGTGGCACGGATGTGGGCAACGAGGTGGGTCGAGTTTCACATGACGGGGTGGCAAGGAAAATGGGGCTGAAAATGGGGCTCTGATCGCCCAAAATGGCAATTTTTAGCTTTGGTAAATGATGGTTCACTGGTGGATTTGGGTGAGAATTCGCTTTGTTTTTGACGAAAACCATGGTTTTCAGCATTGGCTTGAGCGGTGACCCCTGAGGCAGGAAACCATCACGCGTGCCATTGGCTTTTTGCCTGCGATCAAGGCCTAACAGAAGGGAACCGATATGTGTTTATATACCAATTCTTACCCTGTGGTAAACTAACATAAATAACTATAGAAAATCAATTTTTTTAATGGGAAAATCCACTATAAATGGCCATTTTCAATAGCTATGTTAAATTACCAATTCTTACCATATGTTTGAATAGTCGGTTTAGATTGTCTCGTCTGTTTTCCTGTTTTTTTTGGTCCATTGGTATGGATGAACCAGAGAGGTTGACATTGAGTAGCCAAAACAGCCGACTTGTTGCCAAAGATGCCCTCCAACATGGCTGCAGAAATCCAGGTGTTTCCCCGGGTAACTACGAATAAGTAATCGATTTTCGATTTCTATGCTAGTTACTGGATGGTATATTGTTTTGAGGCTACAAAAGCACAAGATTGGGGTATTAGTTGTAGAACCAGCAATCTGATTCTGGCTTGTCCAAACATGGGGTATACCATGACAAACCATGACAAATCCAGATCTTGCCGGACTTTTCTAAGATACTACATGAGGATATTAGTTGTATAACCATGACAAACCCACTACCTTTCGAAGATTCCAAGACTTATAAAATCCCCATCTTTTCTGCAGTTCCTCGACTGTTCACTGATGATTTGATCCACTAATTCAGATCAACTCCTAGGCTTGTCAGAAATGGTCAGTTAGCCAATCTTTGGAATAGGTTGGTCATATTCCCATGACCTTCACAGCTGTCACATATACCAAGAATATCTGTGACTTGTACCCCATTTCGGCTCTGAATTGGTCATGTTTCTGCCAGCAAAACCCTTCAACCACGGGTTGCTGGGGTTGCTGATGGTTGCTGGTATCATCCCCAGCTTGATAGCTGGTGCCCATAAAGATCAGCGAAAGTCAAAAGAACATGGTGGTTAAAGGTAAAGAGATAAACAGTGATAAACAGATGCAAATTGTTTGGGATTTGGGATGTTGTTACCCGGATGTACTTCAGGCTTCCCAGCGGTAATCGAAGGAAGTTTAGAAGTCAAACTTCCGACAATATGGACAGATGAAAAGCAGAGCAGGGCAGAGGCAGAGAGAAGAGGAAGATTAGAAGAGAGAAGATCAGAAGAGAAAGAGTAAGAGGACAGAAGATACAGATGCGCGAAAAGGTAGGAAAGTCGCGAAACACTGTGTTTTTCCAATGATGTGTGGCTCCGGAGGGTCGAAAGTAGGCTCGCTAAAGCAGCGGGTGCGGACCCAGCTGGCCACAGGAACGATGAAAAATTGCACGCCGTTGTGGCGCGAAGCACATTTCCAAGTCAAAATGTACAAAACACCTCAGCCTCGGACCACTTTTGGAAGTTATGATGTCGAAAAAGTGCACGCCGTTGTGGCGCGAAGCACATTTCCAAGTCAAAATGCACAAAACACCGCAGCTCCGGACCACTTTTGGAAGTTGTGATGTCGAAAAAGTGCACGCCGTTGTGACGCGAAGCACATTTCCAAGTCAAAATGCACAAAACACCGCAGCTCCGGACCACTTTTGGAAGTTGTGATGTCGAAAAAGTGCACGTCGTTGTGGCGCGAAGCACATTTACAAGTCAAAATGTACAAAACACCAGGGGTTCGGACCCCTTTTGGAGGTTGCGATGTCAAAAACTGACGGTCTCGGACCACTTTTGGAGGTTCAGATGTCGAACCAGTGTCGAAAAAGTGCACGCCGTTGTGGCGCGAAGCACATTTGGAAGTCAAAAGTGTAAAAAACTCAGGGTTTTGCGCCTTTTTTGACGTGCTGATGTCGAAAAAGCAGACACTGATTAACTTAACTAACTTGACTAACTTAAGGAACTTCACTAGCTTAACTACCCTAACTTCGACGACGACAGCAACAACAACAACGACTACTACTACTACTACTACAACTACAACTGCAACTGCAACTACAACTACAACTACAACTACACAACAACTACAAGTAGAAGTACAACTACAACAACTACAGCTACAACAACAACAACAACAACACCAACCACAACAACTACAACTACAACTACAATAGATCGATAGATGGAGAGATAGATAGATAGATAGATAGATAGAGAGAGAGAGATAGATAGATAGATAGAAAGATAGATAGATAGATAGATAGGTAGATAGATAGAGAGAGAGATAGATAGAGAGATAGAGAGATAGATAGATAGGTAGGTAGGTAGGTAGGTAGATAGATAGATAGATAGATAGATAGAGAGATAGAGAGAGAGAGAGATAGATAGATAGATAGATAGACAGATAGACAGAAAGAGAGAGAGATAGATAGATAGATAGATAGATAGATAGATAGGTAACTAGATAGGTAATTAGATAGGTAATTAGATGAAAAAGAGAGAGATAGAGAGATCGATAGATAGATAGATAGAAGATAGATAGGTAGGTAGGTAGGTAGGTAGGTAAGTAGGTAGGTAGGTAGATAGGCAGAGAAAGAGAGAGAAAGAGTGAGAGAGATCAAGCACCTTTCAATCCATCAGTGGATTCGCTTTGCCATCCCCGATTCACAACAACCAACTTCTCCTATAGGTTTCCTATTTTTGAAACTTCCGCCACCGCCTTGTGCGGTACTACTGGTATTGCAGCTTTCATCAAACCAATCCTGAAAAGAGTACCAGGATTTCAGGGTAAAATTGCCAAATTCATCCAAATTCCATCTAGTTCAGTTTGGCATTTTTTTGGTATGCCTCAAATGATTGATGACGATTGATCTCCGCATTTTTGGGGGTGCGATGGCTGCCGTGCTGGTGGATCCCCAAGGGGGGCGATCCTGGCAGGACCGACTTCGACCGGGAGCTCCAGGACGGAGGTCCGGAGCCGGAGATGCAACGCAGAGTCCACAGGAGGATCGGTGGTTTGGAAGCTTGGCCGCCACATCTCAGCCATGAACCAAAATAGCATGGTTGATGAAAACATATTAAAACAGAACCATAGAAATTTCGATGAATTAGACAAAAGTTAGTACAGCAGTGTCATAAACCACCCATGTTTTCATGGTTTGTACCATCCATTTATCAAAATAGCTTGGCTGATTTTGGTCAACCATGGAAATACACTACCAAGAACATCCAAGAACCAAGAGAAAGATCGGGAATTATTTTACCAGAGATCGGCCAGAAGAAAAGTTATATTTATATACTTTACCGATCCAGTGTTTTTTTTTGCGCTTGTGATCCGGTTTATTCTACAAGCACTTAGGCATGTTTATGTTGACGATGCAGCTATTTCTGTTTCTGTAGCTATTTCTATTTCTGTACCTCGGAAGGCCTAACTTGACAGCTTCAAATTTCCCGTCGCCAAGGACCTTCTGCGGAGATTATGAGCCTTGGCGCCTTTCTGTTGTACTCCGGAGATCTTTGGAGATCTTCGGAGAGGGAAAGAGTCATAGAGAGATATAAACTGATATAAACAAACAGGTTAAGTATATGGCAAATCCTCCCAGTCCTTGAAATTTCAGATCAAGTAGCCTTTGGTAATTTGTCACATAGCGAACTGGAAAATGGCCCATTTACAGTTGATTTACCTATTAAAAATGGTGATTTTCCATAGTTTTTTGTATGTTTACCAGAGGGTATTTGGATCTGGCTGGGGATCTATGGTACCACAAAACCCCCGGCAATACTCAACATGTAAGGGACGGACATTGGCTTGTGGAAATTTAAGGAAATTGTTCAAAACACGAGGTAAGCGATGGGGCCGTTCCAAATTAGCGATGCCTCCTTTCAAGGTAATGTTATTTTGAACATTGATTTCTGACGTCATTTGTGAACCAGATTTGGGCCCACAAGGGCACGTGCTCCTCAGAAAGTGTTCTTCTTGATGTCCATGGAGTGGCCCGCAGAGAAGGGAATCCGCAGAAGCGGAAGCCAAGTCCCTGTAAACACGTTTGTTTCACTAGCTGCCTGCACATCTTTGCCTTGCATGTTTTCATTGACTCTCCACTTGAACTTGCGCCATTTTGATTGCCTCGCCGCTGACTTTATCTCTCCACTGCTGTTGTTTAGTGAAGTGTCTTTGTGACACAGACACATTATTGTCGTTGCTGAAGAGTGTTTCCATTGACCCCCCATGTGAGCTTGCACTGTTTTGCTTGCCTCTTCGCTGACTCCCTGCTGTTGTTTCATGACTGTTCCAGACGCCCAGGTGCACATCAGCCTGTGACACATTCAGGTTTTCTGGCGGCAAGCTAGATAGAGATAACTAGATAGATAGGTAGCCAGCAAACCAGCCAGCCAGATAGATAGATCGATAGATAGAAGCTGGCTAGCTAGCTAGTCAGATAGACAGACAGACAGACAGATAGATAGATAGGGAGATAGATAGGTAGACTAGCATTCTTCTGGCATTCTTTCTGGCAAAGGTTCGTGCCTGCAGGGGAGCTGGAAAGCGCCATAGCATTCGGGTTTGTACGCCCGGGGAGCTGGAGAGCTCGCAGTAGAGTGGCTGTGTAGAGGTGGCTGGCCAACAAGCTGGCTGTGCATGCTGGCAGTGGGGAAGAAGAGATTTGCAAAGCACTTCTTCCAGTAGCACCTCCTCAGATAGCCTGATCAACAAGAAAGTACAGCCTCGGCTCTGGAGTCAAGTAGATCATATATTTTTCCTGCAAGCGATACCCCCCAAGTTTGCCATACATCATTTTTGTGTAAACGTGTGGTAAGCGATGGGACCTTTCCACATTTGTGGATGTCCATTCCGTGATCCTAGGGTTTTCCACATTGTTCATTAAAAATATCGGTGAAATATGCATGAATATCTATATATAAATATATATACATATATACATGTGAATATATCACTATATAATATTATATATATAATGTTTAAAAATCATAAACGTACATGACACACACACATGCACACATACACAGATATAAATATATAGATATATACATATGCATATATATATATAAAGTATGATATATATATATGGATAGGTGATTGCTGATCTTCCAGACTGGGACGCCATGACGCTGATTTAGCATCCAAATGAACATCCTCCAAATTTGTGCGCGTGTACAGACCCTTTCAAACAGCTAAGGGAATAGGTTTATGAACACATATATATAATAGGTTGTTAACAAGAACTATTTATGGGAAAAGGGTAATAAATATCCCATTTCAGATGTTAGCCAATTCGCCTTTCTCCGTCTTGCAGCTCAGGACTGTCGCACGCAGCAAGACGGGGGAACTTTATTATCTGGAGCCTGGGGCGAAGTGGAAGAGTAACCTTCAAGTATCCCCGAACCGTGTTTAAACGGGAGGAAACACATCGCCTCTTTCCGGTCAGGAGAATATATTATATATAGATGCTGTTTTGTGAGTGGACGTTGTTTTTTGATGCTAGATGACCGTCGGTTGATGTCGCCAAAATTTGGTAGGTGCACATCCAAGTAGATAGTACATGTTTGCCTTTTCTGGAGTTTTCTTGGCAGCATCCCAGAATTAATTGAAGGGAAAACTTACAGCACCCCTTCAAGTGAGGGGTAGAACATGGTAAAACCATGGTTTCTTGTAAGTCTGCTGGCAACTTGGGGGATTGGTTGTGAGTGATTGTTCCATGGTATATTGTAACACCTCCATTCATACACAATAAGATAATCACTAAAAACAACAAACAACATGACCATACATGACCACTAATCAAACATAGTTGCTGGTCCTTATTTACTTGTTAGCAATGTAGTAATTAATGCCAACATTTATGGTTAACTAAAAGAAACCATTGATAACCATTAAAAACCATCAATATCAATCAATAATGAACTAAACATCAATATCTATATATTATAAACATTTATCATATCATATGATAGTTGACAACAATTAATAGCCATGAAACCACTATTTCCAACTGTTTATCCTGCACCATGGCAGGACAGCATGACGATGCGCATCCGAGCCTGTCCAGTGGAGAGGCAGTTCCAGCAACTCAGCCGAGGTCACAGGCGGTGATCAAACATGGTTTGCTGGAAAATCCACCATTAAAATAACCATTACCCTCTGGTTATTTAACATAGCCATGGAAAATGGCCCATTTATAGATGATTTTCCCATTAAAACCTGCATTTATAAGGGATTTTCCATGGCTATGTTAAATAACCAGATGGTAATAAGCACTACGAATAGTAACCATTAATGACATGGTATAACTATGTATAATACATTGTGTATAACTGATTTCGAAAATCCACCATTTATAATTGATTTTCCCTTTACCAGGCCCAGACCTCCATTCATAGGGTTTTCATGGATTTTCCAGCTAGCCACCTTTGATTAAGGTTTGAGGATATGGGAAGATTTACGGGGATCTAACGGTGATATAATGGTGAAAAAGGATGGATGGTCATTATTATGACAAAATCCCAGACATGGTTTATGGGAACATTTTATATTTGATTCTAAAAACCCAGGGTTTCCGGTTCGACCCTTCCTTAAACCAATCCATTGAATGGGCATGATGATATCCAAAAACCTGGTTCAGTTAGTAAAATAGAGTAAAATCACTATTTTTGTAGGATTTTGCTGTTTCATGTCTTTTTTGTGGCCGTCATCGTAATGATAACAGCGATAATAGTGAAAATAGAGAAACCAAAAATAAAGTTTTTTTTTGATAAAATATGATAAATTGGGTTTTAATGATTGTGTTTTAATGATGGTCAAAAATAATGATACTGGGAACTTAACACCCTTGGTTATTCTCTTGGATTTCACCAACAAATCATGAAGGACATGAAGGAATGGAATAAACCTGCCATTTGGGTATATATGTTTTTCTTCTTTTTCAGCCCACCTGTGGTATCATGTGGCCATATTGGGGATGATTGATGTTGGGGTTAACCTCATTCTTGGTTCATTTTTTCGGGAATTGGAATTGTATGGCCATTGTATGCGTAATTCGCCAACGAAATATGATTATGCAGAGATGTGGGAATATGAACCTATTGTTTTAAAGGGTAACTGGGTAACTAACTGTAGCCACTTGGGTGAACAACCAGGAGCTGGGGATACGAACCCAACAATACATGATTGGGATCTTTTTGGGGTAGTGTGGGACCCGCAGTGCCATAAACAATCCAATTGATTACCATTTCGGGGGGGGGCTATTGTAAATCATGCCAAATGGAGGTACGCCCGACGCTTGATTATTGTGGATTCCCAATGGAATGGGAAGAGAATCGCATTATTCCAGATGGTTCCAGGGGCCCTCGTCCTTGACGAACTTCCTGATACTGAGGAATTTTAGGCGAAGATCTTCGGTGCTCCATTTGCAAGAAGAAGGCACCACTTCTGAATTCTTCTGTGCGCCAGTTTGCCGGATCTTGCCGGGCTTCATTTTGCGCAAACGATGGAAAGATAAAGGATCATTCAGGTTTGTTGCGTTGCCACGTCTTTTTCATTGGAAAGCTGGGGTCCAGAACTGTTTCAGGTTGACGAGCTGATGACTTTGAGTGAATCCCACCCGAATTCGATCATTTTAGAGTGGTATCCGCACGTTTTGCCCAAAGGCATGTGCGACTCCACAGTGAGCAATTGACTTATATAGATCAAGCCAACTAACTTGACATTCCCGTACATGTTGTAACTTTCCAAAGCTGTGAATCTAAATGTTGGACCAAACTTTCTGGGGAATATCTTCCAATGGCGTCTTTCTCTTCGCGTTTCGAAGAAACGCAGGTTTTGCCCGGCGTGCTTTCAGCCTGCGATTGCTGCGCTGTTTGCACGCTCCATACCGCGCCATTAGGTGCTGTGGAAGAGCAGACTTTCTCTGCCTGGAAAAGGCCATGAGATTCAGACTCCCACCTAACACCCTGGGGGGTCTCAAGGTGACCTCCCTAAATGGTAGATTTTTTAAGAAACTGTAGATAAATAGGAACATACAAGAAATATCAATAAAGCTTAGTAAGCTTCTAATGAATCAATACTTTTGGGGGCTATGAACCACCATTAAGCCCTTGGATTGATGAAGTCCACCCATCTTGGATGATTGGTTGGTTTGGGAGCCAGAGACGGTTGGGTAAGAAGGGCCTTTTGGGTATGGTACCAACAAGAATTGACGGCCGAAAGGAGCCGCAACAGATAGGTGAGATATACACAAATTACGTGCATATACATATACATTAAATATATATATATATGTTTAATGCATGCATACATACATACATACATACACACATACATGCATACATACACAATTACATACATACATACATACATACATACATACATGCATACATGCACACATACACAAACACATACACATACACAAACACATACACACATACACACACATACACACACATACATACATGCATGCATACATACATACAGACAGACAGACAGACATACATACATACAGACACACATTCACACATACATACACACATACATACACACATACATACACACATGCATACACACATACATACACACATACATACACACATACATACACACATACATACACACACACATACACACACATACATACACACATACATACACACATACATACACACATACATACACACATACACACATACATACATACACACATACATACACACATACAGACATACATACAGACATACAGACAGGCAGGCAGGCAGACAGAGAGACAGAGAGACAGAGAGACAGAGAGACAGAGAGACAGAGAGACAGAGAGACAGAGAGACAGAGAGACAGAGAGACAGAGAGACAGAGAGACAGAGAGACAGAAACATATATACACACATATATAAATACATATATACATACATATATATATATATACACATACATACATACATACATACATACATACATACATACATACATACATACATACATACATACATACATACATACATACATACATACATACATACATACATACATACATACATACATACATACATATATACACACACATATATATATATATACATTTGTTATACCTATTTTATACCTGTATGAATTATAATGACCTCACTGTGATGTCAAGACATCATTGGGTGGTAGTGCCAACTAGTTGGAAAGTCGTGGAAGATACCAAGACCAGTTGGTAATCCAACCTGCAATCTGAGAAAATTCACATAAAGGGGTCAAATGATCCAGCCATCTTTGAATACCAGAGGGTGGCTGCCGGGGCCATGGTTGTCATTTCATGGCCGTCACCAGCTTACTGGGCCACATAATTTTTTGGACCCTGAGTTTTGGTCGCTCTTCCCACCTCGATTTGGGTGAAAATCTGGTACCTCAAGGTGCCTCAAGTTCTCATTGTTGCCTATGGTTTTCCATCATGTTTCCCATGAACGTTGCCACTTGTTTGGCACCACCCCTTTTGGATCCTTTTGGAACAAATCCATTTGTTGATGTCTTCCTGGAAAACTGATCCTTTTGGTTATCTTCCATGATATCCCCATGATATGTTGAAGAAAGTGGTTGGTTGGATCCTATTTTTGGTGGCTTCATTTGACCAAAGCCAGTTGGGCTTCCATGTAGTGCCGGGATCGCGAGCTGCGGGCGTCACCGTGGCCGGGGGGAGCCATGCCGGCTCCGTCGTTGCTGGCGCATTTGGATGCGTCCAAGGACAGGGACACCATCATCACACAAAAGGGCCAAGGTGTGCCAAACCCGAGCCAGACTTTATTGGTTTTCCTTTTACAACTGGGGGGGTGATCAACTATGTGGAACTCACAGCAAATTGGGTTTATGCGCGGGGTAATCCAACCCCGCCAAGATTGACAATCAGTTGTAGTGCATGAACCTCAGAAGGTGGTGCCCATTGGGTGGACCTAAACAAGCTTGCAGGCACTGGGTGATGTGAATTGACAGATTCTTCATCTCTTTTCAGGGATGTTCCAGGACTTTCCTATTCAAACCTTCATTTACAGATGATGTTCCAATATTTTCACATTAAAACTGCCTCCATGTCTCCGTGTTTGATGCATTTTAATGGAGTGCCAATGGCTGTACAGTCTCTTTGAGGTTGTTTTTCTGTGGACGGCATGGCATGACCCGGGCCTTGAGACACGCAAAAGATCCCCATATTTTTGGACAAACCTACATATCAGACATCAAGTTGAATACACACACACATATATATATATTATCATATCTGTGTGTGTGTGTCCCATTGAATCCCTTTAAAGATGGGGTATCCCTCCAAGAAAAAACATGGATAAGACAGCCATTTTAATTTCGCCTCTCAAAGGCGGATCGGCAGGATTCCGCAGCCCTGTCCCTGGCCTATGCGTCTGTGGGAGATGATGGATGCACGGCCATTGCTCGCTACATGCGCGAGAATGCGTCTCGGAACAGCTGATATGGGCTGAATGTTCACCGGGCTGTTGAAGTGTACAGGAACCATAACTAACATATCTAACCTGGCTCGAGCATTGTTTTCCAGGCTTTTCCAAACTATGGATTGTGAGACTGCCAGGTTAGCTTAACATATAATTACTATGCATATATATATATATATGTATATACATATGCACACACACATATATATGTACACTCTATATAACTTATATAATGTGGTTAAAACAATAATAAACCAATTCGGGAATGGTTTATACCACCTATTTATGGTGAAATTGGAGATGGTTTATTATTGTTTTACATTGTTTTACAATGTTTTACCAACATTATAAACACAGACACACACACACACATATATATATATGCGTGTCTGTATGTATTGAATACATAATATATTATCTACAATATCACATGGCCTGGCGATCAAGGTGATGCTCCGGACTTTAGACCTGCGCGGGAACAACATCCGCCACTTGGAGCAGCAACGATGAAGAACGGGGAAAAAATGGGATTACTGTAAGTGATTTAACATGATTTAATTGGTTTTTAGAATAGGGATTTAAGATGCAGATTTATTTTGTAGGGATATATCTAAACATAAACAAAAGGGCCTTCCTGGATGCAAATTAGGGTTGAAATCGTCTTCGGGTCATCAGCATCATGTAGTGGGGAATGCGCCATAAGACACCTGGCGATGTTGGGTCGATTCAGCTGGATGTAATATTCCGTCAAAATGATCAATGGCTCATATTCTCGATGAGTTATAAGGACCGAAACATGCAACGTCACTGGAATGATGGTTAGGATTGGGGGTAAGTATTCCAAAATGGCCATTCGTGTTAGTGAATCATCATGATTTATCCGGACTCCTGTGCAAACATGGCTCATGTTAGGATCCTTTGGTTCGGCACTGCTGACGGCGGAGCCTTCCAAAGTAGCCATGGGTTGGGTTTCCTACTGGGCCAAGGAGCTGATGGGCTGGTGGTACTTGCTCATGGTTTGAGATCAGGCGTGAGACCGGAGTTTTTTCGGAGCCATTGGGCCATTCCAATGGGGCCATTGAAATGGATGTTGTAGTGGCCATCATTGTTAAATCACCTGGGATTTATAAATCCTGGGCTGACATGAATCACATGTCAAATATGGTTTTTGTAATCTTTTTCCCGTGTGCGGTGGTGTTTAGTCTTGCTGTGTCCAGTGCGGCAGCTGCATTGTATGCGGGGATGATGAGGCATGAGGAAACACATTTGGCCGATTGGTTTGTTACCTGGAGGCATGTACTGCGTATATACATAGACAATCAAAGACATGCCGTGCAGATATGCTTGGTTGAATAGTGACTGCCATCATCCATGATGCTACATTACATAAGAGACCATGGAAAGGAGCCCGGGAAGAGGGATGGGACATCCGTGCATCCGTTGCTCGCGAGGCGGAAGCAACATGACCAGCGTTTCAGCCCCAGACGCCAAACACAGCGGCGGGCCAAACTCGGAAACTCTCGGGCCACATCTCAACACACTTGGATTGGTGCTTCACCATGTACCAGGCTGAGAAAATGATAATCCGTGCCCCTCGGTGCCAAGGTCTGCTTCAAGTGGAATCAAATTGGTAGTCACCCTCGAGGTGTTCAAGCCCTCTGCGATGTCCTAAAGGCGGAAGACAGCTGCGGGTAGGCAGCTCATTTCCAAAGTGGTATGAAAAACGGGCCGGAATGCCAACTTTCAGATCAGAATGTTGTTCCAGAAGTTGGACCGATCTCAAATCTGCCAATTTCAGGGAATTCTGCTTCACACCCCCAGATTTTTTTCATATTCTGTATTCGAGCTCCATGATCTTCAGCGCCAGGACAACCAGTCCATCACCCATGTGGATTTGCGGCCCCTTGGCCGCCTTGGCCATGGCTGGCTATGCTTGTGCATTTGCTGCTCCTACAAGTAGTTAGCATCTTACTCAACATCCATCATATTTTGGTGTACTGTACTTGCAATATCTCACTACTAGCCATCCAAAAAAAAATTGTGTGGATGCCTCAGAATTGTTGCATGCTCCTGTCATGCCTGCTCTTCAAATGTTAAACACGGGTGATGAATTGAATGAGGCGCATGCTTGGGCGCATTTCGAAGCTGGTTGAATCATCTTCCAATGCGTTTGATTTGGTTGGGATTAATTGGGGGGAAACACTCTAACAAAGTGGAACAAGATCCAATTGTATATCAGTTGTATATCAGTTGTTTCAGTTCACAGCCCTCTGCCTTCACTGGCCCTGTCACTGCTCGCCAACTCGAGAGACCAAGGAACAACAAGATAGGAGCAGATTGTGGCCCCTTCGTGGGCGACATGTTGCGTCACAACAGTGTGGGTGCCAAGGTGGCCAAGGTGGCCAAGGTGGCCCAGGTGGCCCCAGGTGTGGCCATGGTGGCCATGAGTTTCCCATTTCAGAAATCACTTGTAATCCATATGTCCATATAATTTGAATTAATTAATTTAATATAATTATAATTATATATATATTTCCCCCATTAGCGACATGTGACCTCTCACGTCCAAGCCAGTGACTCTGCTGGGACGGCTGGGCTCAGGTACAGTGACTCACCTGGACCTCAGTTGGAATGACCTGGGGATCGAAGGTGGCAAGGCCATCTTGGATGGCATGCAGGCCTGGTGGCCGGCCCGGCGATGGGGAGAGTTACCCGGCCTGGTAATGGCTGACATAGCTATGGTTTAAATGGCAATTTATAGTGAGTTTTCCCATGAAAAATGGTGATTTTCCATAGTTTTTTGTATGTTTACCGGAGGGTATATAAGGCGATCGTTTTTTTTTGGGGGAATATGGGAATTCACCGTGATATGACAGTGATATGGGTGTGTCCATACGTATGGGGTGTCACTCCAAGATGGCCATGGTTTCTACTAGAAAATGATGATTTTTACCATGGGGTTGCACTGCTGCACCAAATCAAACCCTGGTGGAACGAGGTGGATTTTTGGGCCGGAGAATGTCACTAAATCAGGGAAAGGATTACTAAATCACACCCAGTTTACCCAATGACTTACCATCTTTTTTGTTACAAAAAGTAGCTTTTTGACATTTTTTCGGGGGCGTTGTTCTTGGGTTCACAACATTCATTGAGGGCCTCCCACAGGGCCCATCGTTCATTGGGTGCACCATGAGAGTCCACCATAAATTTTGGACCGGATGGAAAGTCGTGCCAGATGAGATGGCCGTGACCAGATTTTATAAATGGGTATGGATCAATACATATTAATACCATTTTTAGGGGAATGAACATCCATAAATCCCAGCTATTTTGATGTTCACCAGGGGTACAAGGTTTTGACACACTGCCAAATCAATGTCCTTTGGTCAAGTAACTAATCTCAAATTCACTTCTTTGGTGGTGAAATCCCAATGGTGTAAGTTTTAACCACAGATAAACCAACTGCTGGTAAATCCTAATTTGGTATTGTTGAATCAAAGGTGTTGAACCCAAGTCTTGATGGGTAAACTTCCTTTTTTTGTAGCGAATCCAAAAAAACGCCAGGCCAATCATTCCCTCATCGATTGCCAGTTGAGTGGCAACCGCATTGCAGAGGCACCTGGGATGGAGATTTGGTGGGTAAGGGGGCACGCCGGGTACGCCAAAAGCTGTTGCGATTCTTCAATGGGACAAGTGAGGATGTCGTTGGTTTTTTCGTTAATGTCACATTAAAATGAATGCGAAGGGGGAAAAAGGGCCAGATAGATTGAGATATAGATTGAGATGTAGATTGAGATATAGATAGATAGATATAATAAGTATATTACATAGATAATGGTGATAAGTATAGATAGCTCAGCCAAGGTCGAGCCATCACTCAAATATTTAGAGATCTCAATTCGACATCCCCAACTGGATGATTATCGCTGATGACATCCTTTTTTTCCAGAGACATATTAACATAGACATTGAAGCCCATGTCGACATGGTGATAGGTCCCAGTGATAGAAACATCGAATCGAAGCCAAGTTCTTCATAGTGATGGGGTTCAATGAATCTCCATTTTTTTTGGGGGAAACCCTACCATTGGGTTTGTCTCAAAACTAGGCACCCCTAATTCCAATGAATTATATTTTTATAATCCTTATTGCACTTTCAGACAAACCCAATGAACCAATATTAAATAGATTTAAATCGATCAGTTAGACACATCATCCGCAGCATTGATTTCTCGACGTCCAGGACACGTTGCATGCAATCGCCTTCATTCTTCGCCGAAATCGTCAGACGGCTCCCATGGGCGTAGGGAGCTGAGGGGCAGCATGGAACATCGCAATGTTGGAAATCTCCAGTGTTGGCTGTCTCCATGTTGTGGTTCCTACCCTTTTTTTTATTTTTTTTGATAGGGCTGGACTTTGGTAAACAAGAAGGACGAAGAACTATGATAACATAATATGATAACTATTCAATCAACTATTCCTGGAACGCGTTCAGAACAAAAAAAAATAGGAATCATGTTGACCCCTCCCACCCTCTCTCGACATTGGCCGGATCCGAAGGCAGACGGTATAGGAGAATCCACCTCCATGGCTAGTTATGTAAGCCATGAAATCTCACCATGTCCCGTGACTATGACCCCATATGGTGCTTTCAATTACCCTCTGGTTATTTAACATAGCGATGGACAATGGTCCATTTATAGATGGTTTACCTATTAAAAATGGTGGATCTTTCCATGGCAAACTGTTAGTCATAACCAGATGGTATCATAAAAATGATGCGTACTATCCCTATATTAGACATAAAAATAGTATCCTTCGATAACATGGATCCCTTTTTTTATCTCCCATGATGTCATCAAATCCCAGTTCTATCCCAGTTCCACATCCCCGTTGGTGAAACTTCCCGAATTTCTCTAAGGCGAGCACCTTCCGCCAGGAACGCCAGATGATGGCGCAGGACATGTCCATTCTTCATGGGAGGAAACCTGGGAAAAGTTGGAGGAAACCTGGAAAACACTGCGATGTTTACACCGAACAAATTGGACTTTAGCCGGGAAAATGATGGTAGATGGGGATTGCTTTGATGTTCTTGGCCCCTCCACTGTTATATAGTTAGTTTTTACTGTTTAATAGAACAGCATTGATGTTGTTGAACCACAGAAACATGGACATTCACAGAGAAAAAGAGTTTATTCACATGATATTGCCGATTTCCGGTTTTCTGCATCTATGTGAATATTACTGGAGGCTACCCCTGAATGAATTTCTCTCTTAACCTGGGATGCTTTTTAGAACATCAAGCGGAAGCTGGCCATGGGATATCCCCTCGAACGGGCCATTTGAATAGAATGGGGCCAGTGATGAGTTTTTGAATGGGGCCATTTTTTGGGCGGTTTCCACCATTAAACCACCATTAAACCACCATTTAACAACCATTTTCCATTGGTTTTCCTATGATTTTCCATTAAATCACCATTAAATCACCATTAAACCACCATTTTCCATTGGTTTTCCTATGATTTTCCATTAAATCACCATTAAATCACCATTTTCCATTGGTTTTCCTATGATTTTCCATTAAATCACCATTAAATCACCATTTTCAGCCAAAGCCCATGTGCTCCCAGTGGTGTCTCCACCATTGCGCCTGAGAGCTCCACTCATCATGGATGAATATCCCATGGAATATCCCATGTTTGTTTGGTTACAAACCGATGTTACAGCATGTTTACTGGGTAGGAGCCTTTTTTATTGGCTTACAAACCACTAGTCACTACTCAATGGGTTCGTCCTGCGAGAACATGGGCTTACCTTGGCTTGCTTTGTCTGGGTATGAGCCACAAACACATGTTTTTCTGGGGGGAACCTTCACCAAAAATCAGCAACGGCCATGGGTCACGGGGATGTCGGCTCCCGAAATTGGTTGAAAATGTTTTGAGGTTTAAAAATCTATGGTTTCAGCCCTACTTGATGGCTCACCCCACTTAGTAGGTGGGTCAAAAACACCCGGGTCCAGTAGGGCAAGTAGGGCTAGTCAAGTAAGACAGGGGGTCAGAAGCCACTTATCGCAGAAATTTAGATTAACCTATTATTTTTGGATCCCCTTATCCCATTATGTTTGGATCCTCTTATGAGATGAATGACCATGCCCCACTATATAATCATATAGTAAATTTTATACGTCCCATGACATATTCCCATGACATTCCCATTGTTGTTGGTTAAATCCCATTGAACCCCTTTGAAATTTTATCAAATCATCATTAAGTCATCATCAAATCATCATTAAATCCCCAGATCCAAGAAGATCCCATTAAATCACCATTAAATCACCATTAAATCACCATTAAATCACCATTAAATCACATTAAATCACCATTAAATCACCATTAAACCACCATTTTCCATTGGTTTTCCTATGATTTTCCATTAAATCACCATTAAATCACCATTCAACTACCATTAAAACATCATGAATTCGATGGCCTGTCCAGGATCCTGGCTCTCCCGGTCCCATCTCGCCCACCTCTGGGCACGCGCCCACCACGCCGGTCTCCCCCGGATTCGGCGGCACCACCCCGGCATCACCCGGCTTTGGGAGCACTGCCACTTGGCGATGTCGGGTGTATAGCTATACCCTCTGGTAAACTAACATAACTATGGAAAATCACCATTTTTCATGGGAAAATCCACTATAAATGGTGATTTTCCATAGTTATGTTAGTTTACCAGAGGGTATATCTTCAGGTGATCCAAAATATACACCCAAGATACCGACATTAAGCCGATGATTATTAAGGTATATCATGGTATAACTCCCAACATTAAGCCGCTATTTAGCCTTGGGTTAATGGGTCTTATGCAAAATATATATAAACATATTTGGCATATTAAAGTAAGTGTATAACTACCCCAGAATCTAAATAATTTAAGTAAAAGTTGGGGTATAACATGGTATATATAACTATATATAGTTGGATGCGAAGAGGTACAGGCTATAGGTTTTCTATAAAATTTGACTAAAAATAAATAATGTATACTTAGTGTATAAGATGTATCAATATAAGATACATCTACATATCCATATAATGTATCTTGGATGGTTTACCATTGGATTTACCACATGACAATACTGGTTTAATGGCCATTTGATATGGTTTATTGTGGTTTCATAGGGATGATCCTGGGACAAGAACGGGATATTAAGGAATATGTCCTCTGGTAAATCAAGCGTGGCCGGCTGGAAAAGCCCCTATAACTGGTGGATTTGCCATTGCCATGGTTGATGCCCAGAGGGTAATATAAAAAGATATCGCAAGATCTAACACACATAAGTTGCTGGGGTAATAGTTACAGGTAGATCTTACTGTGATAGGTCTAGCTGATCGGCCTGGGGGGAAGGCTTCACCAGAAAAAAATGGTTCAAATAGGAGGAAACACATCGTAAAAATGGCGTGAACCTTGGGATGTTGATGGTTTTGGAAGGATTTTCTCGCAGTTTTTCTCCTCCCGCAATCTATAATCGATATATTAATGGATTGAGATTGAACATGGATTTCCATAGGCTCATTTGGTGCCTCAAACTCCATGTTCATATCTCCAAACGCTGCTCAGACCCGCTCGGTGAACATGAACATCCCATCCGAGGCTTGGAATATGGGGGTTTCCGAAAGTTGGACATGCTGAGGAACTGGCTTCGTCTCGGGGAAACTCAACCAACCCAGGCAACTAGCAGCATTTCCAAGCGATGATTTGTCCGGCCATTGCCATTCACTGGGGATTACATGAGGAGATCATGCCTGGAGTAGGCACCGTTAAGCCAGATGAAACGGCAGGCAAATCCTCAGGCCTTCTGGCATAAGCCAGATCATTGATTCATGCTATACATGATGGTCAGTTTTCCATAACATATACTATAATATAACTACAACCAGAATATATATATATATAACCATATCCATAACCATATACATATCCATTGAACATCTAATATTCTTGAAAGACCACACGCATATCCATATACATGGTATAATGTAGATGTGTTTTTCATGTCCCCCCGTGAAGGCCGGAAAGGCCCCACCTTTTTCGGGAAGCAAGTGACCTACAAACATCCCAAACTTGACACCAAGTGTCGAATCGGTAGATGAATGGATCCCCAGATCATTTTAAAAGGCTGGTTTTATATCGATGAAATGGAAACATATATATATATATAATTATATTATCTATTTATTGATGTTAATATCCCCAGATATTTATTGCGGAAGAATGTCTTGGACACATTGCACTTATTGTTGCAGTATTTATTGAATTTGATTTCCCCTTCTTCTGTACAAAGGCTTCCGGCCAAGAGTGTCCTGTACCATGATTGCGATGATTTGCATGGATTTTTCTTTTCTGGGACTTGATTGGAATTTGACAACGCAGACTGGAAACAATTGTAAAGTAAAGGACCATCATTCCTTAAATTTCTGGGACTGGAACGCGGGATTGGTTGATGGGGAACTAAATTCCGCAAGGTCTCCCTCTGTTTTTACTATATATCCAAATTTTGGGGTTGTCTCAAATTTTCATCCAATCAATTCTTACCACTTCTCACTGTGTAAAATATCCTTGAACCATTTCTTTGTGTCCCCACGATGTATCTCCATGGTGCATCACAGGCAACATCACAATATACCTTCAATACACTGTGAAGCACTCCCAAACCACGTAGAATATTTTGAAACCTGCAAATAAAATTTTCAGGGCACCCTTCATCTTTGGGTGTTGAAACCATGGTTCCGTATAGATTTAGCCAACCTATCTCCATTCTATCTCCATTCTGCCCATTTCCAATCATGATTATTGTCATTATTGTCGATGGTCCATTATATTCCCATTAAATCCAACTATATTCCATTACATCCTCACTATAATCCCATGAAATCACCATGAAAAATCACCATTAAATCACCATAAACCATCATTAAATCACCATTTTCCATGGGTTTTCCTATGATTTTCCATTAAATCACCATTAAACCACCATTAAATCACCATTTTCCATGGGTTTTCCTATGATTTTCCATTAAATCACCATTAAAAAAAGCAGCATCTCATTCCCACCAGCCCCCCACCAGCCACCTTGCCCCGCGCGAGGCAGCTCCCAGTCCAGCGAGTCCAAAGGAAGGCCCTGCCACCAGCTCCCTGCCCGCGGCGACGCCCAGCAAGGCACCCGATCCCGGGAGCCCGGGGGGAGCCCAGGAGGTTGAGGAAGTGGCTCCCATTCTGATCATGGTGGTTTCATAATGTTTTTTTATAGTGTTTTAAGAGTGGTTTGAATGGTGGTTAATGACTTAAAAAAACTGGTTGGCTAATAATAATGACTCATTTTTTAGTGGTTAAGAATGGTTAATGATGGTTAAACATGGTGGTTTAATAGTGGGTTAATAATGGTTAATGAGATATATCTGTTTGGAATGGTGACTGGAACCATGGAATGGATTATGACTTTCCAGAAACAGTTGGGAATCAGATTTTTCCAACTTACGAACTCCATCATTTTGCAGAGGGCTTGAAACCACCAACCAGATATATTAATGTTAATAACAATCACATGTACATAACGATGACTATGTATATATATTTATAATACACAATGTGATAACATGTAATAACACCAATGACTATGTATATATGTTTAGGTTTATATGTATTTGTGTGTGTATATGATTTTGATCAGTGCAACAGTGCAAAAGGGTAAAAGTCCCGTTTCATGAACGAGCATCCGTTGCAGGTACAGCCGCCGGTGCATGATGAGGCATGGGGCTGGGAAAATGAATCAACAACAGCTGCAAGCCAGTTCGGTAACCATGGGTAACCATATACTGTATCGACCCAGTTACATGTACACACATATATATATATATAAATGTATATTATGTGTGTGTGTACATACAGTAAATATAAATAAATAAATAGATAAACATATATATATAGAGAAGATTCCCAGTTGTTGATTATGGGATGTAATGGGATGTTTTGGGTCTTTGCATATGGGTGTTCTACATACTACATAACTGGGAATGCACATTCAAGACAGGTAGGATGTTTAGTGATCATTCAATAGCACGTAAAAAAATCCCAAGTATCCTCTGATAATTTGGCACATAGCTATAGAAAATCACTATTTTGAATAGGTAAATGCCCTCCGGTAAACATACAAAAACTATGGAAAATCACAATTTTTAATGGGAAAACTCACTATAAATGGGCATTTTCAATAGCTATGTCAGCCATTACCAGAGGGTATTTCAATTCTGTTCCATCTTTTCCGTACTTGTTGGCTTCTCCAACTCTCCCCATAAATGGGCTATTTTCAATAGCTATGTTAAATTACCAGGAAAATCACAATTTTTATTGGGAAAACTCACTATAAATGGGCATAAATGGGCTATGTTCAATAGCAAACTGTGGCACGATGATCGCAGCTCTGATCCCCAGGAGTTGCAGCTTGGAGGCATAGGAGCAGAGGGTTGAGCGGTTGAAATTCTGACGGCGGTTAAAAAATGGGACAAGCATGGGAAATTCATGGGAAAATCATGGAAATAATTGGTGAATGTTGGTGAAATATGGGAAAATCATGGACATAATTGGTGAAATATGGGACAAGCTGGATTTCGACCGATAGGAAGTGACCCACCAAAAGCCAGGATGGAATAGACCCGAACTTGGTGAAATGGTTGAAACGCATGTGGATCATGCACCAGGTGGGGGTGTGTGTGCACCAGCCAGGCATGACAAGTAGGATGTTTGTTTGTGGATTTTGGGGATGTATTTGTCATAGCCACAGTGATCCACAGTGTAAATCACTTGTCATCGTTCCCAATCCTTCATCACCATGTGCTATCCCCTACATGAACCAACATTAATTTACTACTTTCCTAGGATTGAAAATCAAGTAGCCCAAACCGTTTATCATCATTCCCTCATGAATTTTGCAATAAATTGCGGACGCACCCATGTCATCTGGCTGGTTCTGTCCCATAAAATATCCCCATGATATACCCATAAAATGGATTTTTCAGTGGTTGGTGTCGGTGTAGCCTTTGATCATGTTGAATACCCTCTGGTAAACTAACAGTTTGCTATGGAAAATCACAATTTTTCATGGGAAAACTCACTATAAATGGCCATTTTCAATAGCTACGTCAGCCATTACCAGGCCGGGTACCAAATTTGGTGCTTTATCCCACCATCAAACTTAGCATTTTTTCAGTCTTCCAAGGGCCCACTAAGGACTCTGAAGCTGCTTCAGCGGGAGCAGAATCACAGCAACGCGGAAGACGCCAGGTTTTTCGGTGAGGCCTGGCCGACGGCACCAGAAAAACCTAGAAAAACCAACCATTTGGGGGCCATTTTACATCGTCAATATCATCCAAATAGGGGTATTCCATGGTATTCATGTTATTTGAAACTGTATGAATTAATACACCACATTTATTGTTTTTAAGATGTAGAAGTCATAGAACTACTAACACATGCATGCATATGTGTCACGCGATGGTTTATATCTGAATATGGCATCACATCCTCCCCCAGGTGGCAGAGTACATCGATCTCTTACAGCTGGATGTGGCCAGAAACAAGAAATACCGCATGGATGCCGAGGTGGGTCGGTGATGCACGGGTGATGCCGAGGGACACGTTTGTCATTCCGAGGGTGGCTTTGGTTGGGACATAATAGTTGAAACCTTAGGAAACCTGTTTTTTTCCGATGGAGAATTGGGGGTTCCGGGGGGTGTGTCTTCAGGCAATGCAGGGCATTTGGGGTTCCGAAACTGTACCTACAAAACCACAAACGGGAAAGCAAGAAAAATGGTAGGGGAATCCTATGGGGGTGTCTCTTGAGATTCTGGAAAAAAACCCACTGCCAACTGACATTTTATGACATTTTATGACCGCCTTCACTGTTATTAATAATTGATGGCAGTTTGGGTAAGGGTATGCCCCATGGTTGGACAAACCCAGCAAGATTTCGAAGTACTTCACGTGCTTCTTTTTCCCCTGACTGACGCATTTTTCCAAGGGGATTGAAACCAGGAACCAATGCATTTCCGTTCTGTTTTTCTTGGGGGAGTCATGCCTGCATATACTCCATCAGCATCATTGACGGGAACTTGTTCTTGTGGCGATAGGTTGAAAGTAATTTGTTTTTTGAGACCACGGTACAAACAAATCTTCCCCCCCCCAAAAAAAAAACGTCAAAAACACCGCCTCCCTTTCAACTGCAGATGTTCTTTTTTCCCGTGTTCAGAAAACACCTGTTTTGTTCCCACTTTTTTTTTTCCCTGTGGTTTTCCCTATGGTTTTCCCTATAACTCAGCTGAGTGAATGCAACCAGGAGAGGGAGCGAGTGGTCACCAAGGGCTTCATGGAGCGTGAGATGCGCTATGCCCAGGAGATGTGCGAGTGGCCCGACCGCGTTGCAGGGCGAACGAGATTTTTGGATGGAGATACGGTGAAATCCGCACCAGTTGAAAACGGTGGTAAACATCCCATTATTTATAGGGTTTCAACCATCCATGGTGATGCAGGATTTCTTCCATAGACAGTATGATATCTATATATATATATGGGAGTTTCCTTGCAATGGTGGATCCCCAAGTCACCAAGGGATACCAAGGGCTTCAATAGCAAAATGGTCTAATTTGGATGATTCCGGGGCCCCGCTTTCGGGAAACCATGGGACACCTTTGTTTTTTAAAGCAACCCCCAAAAAGACAGAAAAGTAACATCCTATGGAAATAGTGGTGGATCACTTTTCACTTCTTTTGGGTGGTTTCGGATTACTGTACAGATTTATGATGGGGATGTACTAGGAAAAAAAACGGCGATTAGCTGATGTACCAATCAGTAGGCATTTCAATGTTTGATGGTCACCAAGTTTTTGATGCTTTTTTGTGCCAGGATATGCCAGGATAGTATTGGCGTGAATGGCTTACTATATGTGGATATACGGGTGCAGCAACAATATTGATAATCGAGAAATGATACAATCATACAATATCAAGCCGTGTGTAGCCACTATAGGATTGAACACCTATTGAAGATGTGTATGTATGCATACGTCTGTATGCAGATGGAAGAGATAAAGAGAGCAGTCATCCATGAAAAATGAACACTAGTGTATGTGGGTAAAAGAAGAATACACCACCCATTTGGGAATGGTTTATACCACCTATTTATGGTGATTTGGGGGATGGTGTATATCGCCATTGTAGTTGGAACCCTTGAACAGTGGTCTGATGACTATCTCACATGCTGGATGGAAATACTACGGCGCTTAGAAAAAACGCAGCACATTGTGAATTTTGGTTACATACCCAACCAGTATTAAGTGTGGTTACAACCGCTGTACATGTGGAAATTGGATGAAATTGGATCATACTGATTATCATTATGTTCAGCATGGGGGAATTGAGTGTAGCTGGCAAACAGGAGCAAACAGTGGCCTTGTGCTGATTTGATGTATGGTTAACCGTCAGCCTCTGTAGTCAACAGTGGGGATGCAACGTCGATTCGCCACAAACCCAGGTGAAAGCCATGACACTTCGAGTGATTTAAGCTGTTGAACATCACCCATTCACAGATGCTCCCATATTTTCCCATTGTAAGCTGGGATTTTATAGCTAGCCATGTTAAAATTGCCAGAGAGCTTCCTAATTTTGCTGGATATCTCCCATTTCGGTGGTTAAACCATGAAAAAAAAACAATTTATCCAGTGGTTAGTGCATGATCATTTTCCGCTATTTATCCCAGCTATCCCATGGTGAAACCCCATTGATGTTTATTTAATTCCATGATCATCAGATGGACGAATTCCTCATTAGTCCTTCAATTGGCCGAGGTTTTTTTTAAATGGATTTTCAATTGCCATGTTTGATTACCCTCTGGTAAACTAACATAACTCTAGAAAATCACAATTTTCAATGGGAAAATCCACTATAAATGGTCATTTTCAATAGCTATGTTAAATTACCAGAAGGTACCAGTTGGCAGTCTTGATCTTGGCCACTGACCCTAAACGAGCCAGGCTCGAAAATCTCCTGGCGAAAGCGAAGGCGGAGAAGGCGGAAGCGAGAAGCAAACGTATTGAAAACCACCTGGTGTCTGAAGGAAAATATGCCCTACAAATGCTGGGTTTAAGTGATTTTAATATGATTTAATTGGGTGGACTTTAGACTTTCGTTTTTTTTCTCCTATGTTTTTCTCAAAAGTTGATTTGCTGGAGGAGGGCATATTTTTCTCAAATGTTTGATTCTCAGTTCATCACTTTCTGGTGCTTTAAAGACCGTGGTGAAGCTCGAGCCCGGACATGCCCGGACGCCATTCGGCCTACAGCGGCATTCACCAGGTTTTGTTACCGATGCCGATATTTCCTGTTGAAATTCCAACATCCCATGAAATATCCCATACAAATCCCAATAGACATAGAAATTCCATGACCAATATCATTGATAAACCAATAGACATTCCATATTCCATTGATATACCATAGATATTCCATAAAATCTCCATCATTTGTATGGGATATGGTATATCTATTGGTATATATTGATATTCCATAGATATTCCATCATTTATCTATGTCAAAAGATATTCTACATACCAATAGATACCATGATGGAGAAATACCAATTGTAATTATCTATATTATATATATATATATTCCATCAATATTCTATTGGTATTCCATAGATATTCTATAGATGTTCTATGGATATTCCACAGATATTCCATATTTGTATATTGGTCTATTCTATTGATATTGTCCCATATATTGATATACCATAGATATTCCATTGATATTCTATTATATTCTATTGATATTGACCATATATTCTAATAGGATATTCCTATTGGTGTTTTCACCATCTTGTCCCATCTGCCATGAATTCCTTGCGCCGTTGCGCGGCGCGGATCACCTCGACGATCCTGGGGCCACCGGCTCCGCCCGCGCCGTGCGCGCTGCGTGGCTTCGCCGTGTGGGGCTTTCCACCACGGAAGACCACGGCACTGCATGGCGGACGCTGGGTGCTGAAGATACCATGCCGGGGAAAATGCCAGGGAAATGCCATGAAATACAGAGAAGAGCTCAATTTCTACAGAAATGATCATGATCAGCCATGATATTTTTTGGGGTTATGCCAGAGTTTGGGCAATCCCATAGGTCCTTGTCTCTTATATTTGTCTGCCAGTGATGTATATCGTTTCGTATCAGTATCCAGCTTGGCTACCAGTTGGGGGGTGAGCGGCCTGAATGATGCATACTCTAGCATTTTGGATGACTATCCATGATTATACCTGCTGACTCCAGCTCAGAATTGCAGCATCTATTCAAAAGGGCACTGATTTTCACATCATAAATCATCATAAAGCATCTATAAATAGGCAATTTTCATCAATTTTCCATAGCTATCTTAAATAACCAGAGGGTACATATTAGTTCCCAAAACTACATACCAACATGAATTCACAATCTCTGAATCGGGATCGATAGCTCGCCCCAGGAATGCACTGCCATCCCGGTCGATTGTTTGGATATCCCAATCCAATCAAGCGGCAGGGAAAGACTCGAAAGCGCGGCTGGGGGATCTGGGTTTGGGCGGCCCCGTTTTTTTAAAGATGAGACCTATTGGCAACTTGTCATCATGAAGATCATACGGATGTTTGAGAATTGAGAGATAGAGAGAGAGAGATAGATCGATAGATAGATAGATAGATAGAAAGATAGATAGATAGATAGGATAGATAGACAGATATATAGATTTTGATAGATAGATTGATAGATTACTGAGAGATTACTGAGAGATTAATAGATTAATTAGATATAGATAGATAGATATATTAGATTAGGTTAGATTATATATATATATATGCATACAGACATGGAGGATACCCGTTTGTACTACCAAGATTGAATCCTGTAGGTTCACTAGGAAGAAAAAAACAAAAAATGGATTAAATCTGCACATGCTAACGTTATTACATGGATTAATTTTTGAAATATAGACAGTAAGATATATACATAGAAGATGACCTAGTGCCCTAGGTTGAGGAACATGTTTTTGTTTTTGGATCTTGGCCATATGTAAAATAGATTTGAAGAGGGGGGGTTAGGGGACAGGAAAAAAAATGGTTAGGGGACAGGATGAAAAAAATGAGATGTTGGATAAATTAATATGACTAAAGTTCATAGGCTGGGAGATAATGATGTTATTTTGTTTTAATAGATGTTTATGATGCTTGATGTAATTAGTATGGATGTTATATTGTAGCTAATATCTCCAAGATTCAACATCATTGTTGTTCTACGTTGATAGGCTGGAGCCCTACAGTAGGAAATCATTTTGATTTCGCATTTTGTTTCCAAGGAGTGAACCTCCCTGGGTGGTCCAAAGGGGTATCATGGAGGGAGAATACTGATGGTATAGTGAAGCCGTATTTTTGGGAGGATCTTCCACACACGTACCTTACGCATCACAGGATAAAAACTGTTAACACTGGGTACCTTCAATTCACATATCTGAAATCAAGCCCTTGATATACATTTGCAACAGCTCTCCCCATGGCAGCCATGGCACAGGCTCCCCAATGTGCGTTTGAAACGCTTTGACTACTCCCTGACGATCGCCAATGACGGGTCCAATCACTTGCGACCGCCATATCCGCCCCGCGTAAATCGCACCATTGAGTCCCGACCACAGGTGGGTCACAAGCACAAGAATCCGTGGCCGACCAGGGAACACAAGGACTATAAACTGTACCTTGGATATTTGGGAGGATCGATGAGCCATGGCCAGGATTTTTGAATAGCTTGGATGGTTGTGAACTGTCACCAGCGATGCTGCTTCGTAAGGGATGCAAGAGAAACCCTTCCCATATGACAAATTTACCCTCTGGTAAACAAACATAGCTATTGAAAATGGCCATTTATAGTTGATATACCCATTGAAAATGGTGATTTTCCATAGTTTTTTGTATGTTTGCCAGAGGGTCTACAATTTTGTGGGGGTTAGTGAATTAATCTATATCCCTTCCCCCCGAAGATCAAGGGCGCCCCCCAATGACCTGGGACCTGGGGGCAGGAAGATATACAATGACTTGTCAAGGGGAGCTAAATTCAAAGACATTAAAACACAATGATATAAACTGTTGAAAGTCATCTCATGCTTGCCACCCAAAACAAGCCCGACACCTGCCATTCAACAGCGACTGAGTCAGATTTGTTTATTATATTTTATTATTCCATATTTTTGCGCAGATGTTTTCAACAACTTTTCGGAGCAGCGCATGCTGAATTAAAGCTGCAACCCTCCACCAAAAGGCAATGGAAAAACATCGAGTACGTCTTTGTCCCTGAGCTGACGCGCAAGCCACATGGCAATCCAAGTCGCCGTTGGGCTGGACCAGTGACGCGCATCGAACACGTGAAGAATGGGAACCTTTGCTGCAATGCTCTGAGCCGGTTTTATATGGGTAGGGGTCCCTGGGATTGGTCAATGATTGGTCTGATTATGTCTGGTTATTTTTGAAATTATCACCCCCCCACTAAAATATCATAAAATCAAATAAATAGGAACGTAATTCCGGCAGAATCGACAAGAGCAATTTGTGGCTCGTTGTTGCATGTTGATCATGTTGGTACCGCAATGACCTGAGATACGGTTGCAGGGTCTGACGATCCCCCTGGTATGGCCTATTGAGCTCTTGTATGCTCTTGCAATCTCTTGCACATATCAGTCCATTTCTGGTTGGTGGTTTGGAACATTTTTATTTTCCCCAATAGTTGGGATGATGATCCAATCATATCCAATCTGACTAATATTTTTCAAAAAGGATGAAACCACCAACCAGATTTTCATGGGCAAACCATGGCAAACCGTCCGCCACGCAAACGGTTTGGGTTTAGTGGCGACTGCGCCACTGCCAGTAAGATCAGGCGAAGAATTGCCTATTCTCTATATAACATTATATAACCATATCCAATCCAGACCAAAAAGTCAAAGCTCGCCATTCAAACCATGCATAGTTGCTGCATAGTTGCTGCGGTCGAACCAATGATCTTGTGGGGCGCGCCAGTGAAGCAGACCTCGTGGATCCTTGTCAATCCTGATTTAACTTCGTGATTCTGTATCAAGGTTGGCCCCCAATCTTTTGGCAGAGGTGCCAGAAAAAACGATGCCACCGCCTTCAGGAAGCCCAAGACCAGCCTGGTGACCCACGACGTTCGCCTCTTGGATTGGTAACCGAAGTGAGCCGAAAACGAGGAGACAGCCTCGACATCTCCCTCGGTCGCGACCTGGGTGTGTTTCACTACGACCTGTGGGGCGCGCACTTTGAAAAGAACGGGGCGGCGAAAATTCAATGACTTGAAAGATGTGGGGTGCCAATGCTTTCGAAATTCTGACAGGTTTTGCTGAGTGTTTTCGATGGTATGACATGTCATGAATGGTGTTTGATTGTTTTCTTGATGACTTTAGAGCTGGACGAAGTATTTAGAAGTGCTGGCATGATCCGTACAGTTGAAAAAACCTACCGCAAGCCCCAGATACAACGACGAATTCTTCGTAGAATCAACAAGTTCCATAGCTATGTTAAATTACCAGGGAGGTATTGTATCAACTCTTTACAGCTGATCCGTTTTTCTGAGGCATTTACAATTTATGTAGGCATTGCAACCAACATCTACGAGCAGTTGCAGGCCCGAAAAGCGCCGGTGCCAGGATGAGATCCTGCACGACTGCGCCTATGTCCAACATGAGATCGACCGGGTGCGAGCCGAAAAGCGCCTTGGTCGATCCAGGGCTGGGAAGATTCCCCAAAGGCAACGAGGATTGTCCCCAAACATGGCTATCACCGAGTCAACTAAATGGGGGATTTTTTCGGCAAGCCATGTTTGATCTCAGGAGGGTAAGGTGTGATGTTGGTGGAGGATGTCATGATGATGTTTGGTGAAGTTTTTCCTTGGTTAGGCTTGAAGTTTCGGCGGATACTTTATCAAGATGTTCACCATGTGTGATTATGAATTATAATATTATCATATTATATCATATTATATCATGTCATGTCGTGTCATTTGGTTGTATATTGTTGGTTAGTTCAAGCGTTGTTTCTTCATTTCATAGTTGTCGTGGGAGAATCAGTCTGGCTAGGTAGGTTTGCCTGATAATTTGGTACAGTACTGCTAAATCCACTGGTTTATCATCATTTTCCAGATGAATGGCCATTGGTGGCAAATCCTACATTTCCAGAAGCACCCATGTATAATAATATTATATATATATATAAATATTACTGTATTGGGTATATCCTCATATCTCCAACAATAGATCCCAGCAAAATACCCATTATATATATATATTACCATCTGGATATGACCAACAGTTTGCCATGGGAAAATCAACCCATTTTTAATAGGCAAAAACCCAGATAAACCATCTATTTCTATGGGCCATCTATACCATGGCAAACTGTTAGTCATAACCAGAGGGTAATATGTGTTTTTTTTTTGGTCGGTTCTATGCCATCTATACCACCACATATCCAGATGAGAGCTACCAATTTTCATTGGTTATAATGGTTGCATCCAACCGTTCCAAACCAAAATCATCCAATTTATAGAAAACAAATATCCACTTTCATAATTTGCTCCGGGGTGCGTATCCAGATGATACTCCAAGTTCATCAATTTCTGGTTGGTGGTTTGGAACATGAATTTCATTTTTCCATTCAGTTGAGAATGACATCATCCCAACCGTTACTCACTCCATCATTTTTCGGAGGGGTAGGGCTCAACCACCAACCAGATAATCATTAACCATCATCAACCATTAATATTAACCATTAATATTAACCATTAATATTAACCATTAATATTAACCATTAATATTAACAGTATATTACCAACCAATGGTAGGTCATCCTACTCCTGGGTTGATCTCCGCCGCTACGCCATAGCTCCATCCCCAGGGCCAAGACGGTGGATGACCGCAACAAGATGGAGGAGGTGGCGCGGGCCACCTCGGTACCTTGCCTTGAGCATGGCATGAAGGGTACCCTCTGGTAATGGCTGACATAGCTATTGAAAATGGCCCAGTCGAAATAGTTGAGTTTTCCCATTAAAAATGGTGGATCTTTCCATAGCAAACTGTTAGTTTACCAGAGGGTACAGCAGCTGTGGCTTTTTTTTTTGGTTTTGAAAGTGGTGAATAAATACACCTAAAAATGGGATGATGGGATGATGGGATGATGAAATCAGTTCATAGTGGTTCATCAATGGTATATCATGTAAGAAATGATGGAAAATTATGGTCAGTATATCGAAAGCCATGGTTAATATGGTTAATAGTGGTTAATCACGGTGATGACTGGTGATGAATATCGGGCCTGGTTGTTTAACATAACTATGGTACAGATGGCCCGCTTAGCTCAATGATTTATGATGATTTACCTATCTATGTTAAATTACCAGAGAGATCTAGAGAGTAATGAGTATATCCCGTTGGTTTCAAATATTTATTGTTTCTCGACCATGCTTGAATCATGAATCATGCTGCCAGGCCATGACTGCTGACGCATGGCAGTTTAAAATAGGAAACAAAGGTATACCTGGATAGATCATGACCTCACAGTGATGCCGGAACGATGTTGAATGGATTCAGGGCATCATCCCCAAATGGCCGATAACAGTTATTTTCAGTTTTGAGGTTGGTGAATTACTCTTTTCGGCCAGAATATATATATACATATATACATATATATGTATACACACTATATATATATTACCATGATATATCCATCTTGATGTAATATACAGAGTGCAGAGACGTCGAGAGGACAAAGGCAAGGACACTGGCTTGATATATTCCGGAAAGAACCATCGATATCTCACTGAGAGTTGGCTTTTTCAATTACTTTGTTCAAGCCTTTTGAGTACTGTATCAGATGGTTGTTGAAGATCACGTTCCCAACGATTGAGGATATGGCTCCTTTCAGGTATGGGGTAGTTCTCTGAGAAAATGCCTCCCTTGGTTCATGTTCATTTTAACGGCTGGTGGCTCTAGACTCTAGACCGCTTGGAATTGTGGGAACCTGTTATGAAAAGACACATTCATAGTACATAGGATGTTTAATTATAATATATATATATATATTATGGTTAAGTTATATATAGTCATACTTGAAGTTGAAATTCGAAATACCATCCAAATATATCCAAACATCAGCTTCCGACATGTTCTTCCCTAAACCAATCCTGTCAGTTCACCAGCAAGGACAGGCTCCGAGCAGATATTCGTGATGCACTCACCATGAAGGCAGACTTCGTAGCTTGGCGTAGCGAAAAGGGATCGGGGAAGTTGACCCAGCTGCCATTCCCAATATCCACGGATGAGTTTACCACAATTAATTGCGGGGTTACCCGGCCTGGTAAACATACAAAAAAACATGGAAAGATCCACCATTTTTACTGGGAAAATCAACTATTTCGACTGGGCCATTTTCAATAGCTATGTAAAATTACCAGAGGGTACCCGCAAAAAAAAGTACCTGTAAGTCCTAAGTACTAAAGGAGCGCTTGGGAAAAGAGGCACAAAAAAGGGGTGCCGAGAAACCATAGCAATGACGAATGTTTACGGCCGGGGGATTATAGCAACGTTATTGGGTTCTTCGGCCAAGGGTTTATAACAATATCAATGATTCTACGGCCGAGGGTTTGTAGCAATGTCCACTTAAGATTACTTCAAATTCACTCACGATTGCTCACGATTTTTTAGCTGCTATGTGTACCTTTTTACGCACCTGTGAGGGCCCTAGGGCGGTACTTTTGAAGGTCCTGCTCACGATTAATTACTAACGATTACTCACGATTAAGGATGTTGTAGCAATGCTCTTTTTTAGGCCCAGGACCTCAAAAGGTACATCACTAGTATCATACATAGACGTGCTAGACTTCCAGGAGTGATTTTCATGAGGAACTTTTTGAATCCCTGGACTTCCAGGAGTAGATGCTATCAAAACGGCACCCCTTCTAGAAATAAACAGGGCGTGCGTTATTCCTGGGATGAGATCACTCAAGATGGTGGAGGACAGTTGGAACATGGGACATGACCAGCTTGGTGTGGAATCGATTCACCATGCGGATGAGGAAACGCAAATCTACAAGACAAAGAGGCAAGCTTGGGCATGTTCACCAGCAAATGCGGACTTTTGAGCAGCAAAAACTGCAAAAACGCTAGTTTTGACCCCACCAAACCTCCGCACTTCCTCTATAGACACGAGGCATTACCATCACGTTTTGCCGCGTCAACCCAACCATGGCTGGCCCCTACCAATAAAAATTGATCTTGAACCACTGCTGTTTTTCGTTCAGAACCCTGGAGGCCCGTTTTTTCGTTTTTGTTGCTGTTTCATTCTTCACTTGGACCCAAAAATGAATTGGATGCAACCAGCCACGGCCACAGGCTGGGCTTCTTTTTGGGTATGGTAACATGGTAAGATTGGGATATTCCCCTTGGGCCATCGGCTGGGGTTGATCCCCCTTGATGGGAGCCCCCATTCCAGCGGCTTGCCATCCACTTCCCTGATCCAACTTCTTATGTCACAATCCTAGTCCCTGGGACAAAACGGAGACTGAGACTTCTCTTAGTCCTGGCTCTGGCCACATCTTTTTTGCATGGCCAGGCGGCAACAAGAACAAGAGGAAGAGAATGCAAGGTTGAGGAGCCATCTTTGCAATTGTAGTATATATCACTATTGATATGGATGGATACGGCATGATGCTGGGAAACTCTTCACAAGAGCCTCAAAATGATCTTCCTGCAAGTAATGCATGTCTGGTTGGTGGTTTGGATCACTTTTTTAGTTTTCAATATATTGGGAATAATCATACCAACTGGACTTTCATATTTTTCAGAGGGATTGAAACCACCAACCAGATGTAATTATAGGGAAAACCATCCCCAACATGCAATCTTTCAGGTATGTGAATTATCAGAGTCCGTCTCCAGATGTTGCCGAAATGTTGTGGAAATTATGTTCAAATTTCAGTTTCACTTCGCAGTCCAGGTCCGGAGCTTCATATTGACTGTTGTTTGTTGGAACTATTTTGGGTGTGCAAAATGGGGCATAATGTGGGTAAAATAGTGTCATTTGCACCGTCCCCCAGTCATCATCATTTTTATAGGTGGTATGTATAAACCATTCCCAGTCATGGGTGGTAGACATGGCATTGTTTTACCCACATTAAACGACAACGTGTCCTGGAGCCTTTTTGAGGTTGCATCCCAGTTAGATAGTTACTATCCGTAAGTAATGACCATATTGTACCCCACTTGTATTTGGATTATAATATATGTATATATATATGTGAGTTATATATGTGGGTTATACTGTAACACACACACACATATATATAATTATATATATACACATATGGTTATATCGGCTCTGGGTTACATATAAGAAATCAGCTTCAGGGTGAATCCTGGGATGCAGGACCTACCTCAGCAAATGCAAAGAAGATTTGGACCGCGCCTTGCGATAGTCGGGGCACCGAAAATTGGGGTTGGGTACCTGAAAATGATGGGAAAACCCATGGACAAGCACTAAAATCCCATGGTTTTTAGGGTTTAAGAAACTTCTTTTCGCATGTTTTGATGCTTTTGCCGGTATGGCCCATTTTCGGGCAAAACCTATTCAGTATTGTTAAATGTTGAAGAGGACGAATCCATTTTGTTAGCCCGGCATCCCAATGTTGAGCCATTGTGAGGTTACACTGATGTATACCACATTGTGCCAGCATGTACCTCGATTGGCCAACAAGTGTAAGGAGGATTTGACGACATTTTTGGGCTGCCGCACCCAGCGCTTGTCTGATTCCAGCCCGTTCTGCTTCAGCGGGTTGCTGCTTTGGATTCTGTTCGCATCTCCTACTTCCTACAGCAGAATGATATGATCCCAACTGGACTGGCTACCCTTTTGGTGTTTTTTTTCGATGACCTTCGTCCTCCAGTGCGTTCCCCAACGTTTTTTCCGGATGACTGAGGCCTTCCCAAAGGTTTCACCCAGCTGGACCCGAGCTCAAAAACTGAGCTCCAGCAGCGCACCCTCCACGTGTGATTGTCTGCCGACCTACAGCTGTGAACGTTTGTTGATGTTTGTAAGCAGGGTCATTTAGATTATCTAACAATCTAACCCATCTAGTCCATCTATTGATCGAGTCTACCTATTACCCTGACAATGTATGACAATGTCAATTCAACCTTTGACCCTTGTCAATACTATTTGGATATAGTATGACAATTTGCCAATGTCAATACTATTACCTACTACCCTGACAATGTCAATACGATTTGCATCATTTTGCATCTATTTGCCCCCCAAAAAATGGGAGTACATCCAGTACTAGATTGGATTGCTGGAGTAATTTTCGAAGGATCAATGCATCCAGGGAATGAACCCGGCAGGTTCCGGTTATGTGCCAAATGGTTGGGTAGTCAATGGTTGTGCCATTAATAGTGGATTTTCCCATGAAAAATGGTGATTTTCCATGGCTATGTTAGTTTACCAGAGGGTAAGCCAAATGAGGCTTTTGTCTACCCAGAGTCTACCCAGCTAGCTTCGTTTTTTTTTTTGGCAGAGTATCTACCAGTTGGTATCCAAGAATCCAAGATGAGTCATGCGAAAACGCCATGGCTTGGCATTTTTAATCCCGCGCAAAACGACCCTGGTTTCCACTGGAGGGTGGTCAGAGCCGCAGCAGGATTCATCCTCGGAATCGAGGGATGAATGAAGTGCTGTGACTTGCGCCGGCAACGGAAAAACCTAGGGCAAACCATTGGACTACTTGTGAGGGACTCCTGAAAGTCAACAAGCAGAAGTGATGAGAAAGTAAAGTGGGTTCGTCAAAACCCTGAGTGGAAGCCTGCTATGATTAAATCATATCCAATAATTATATAAATGATATTAGGTGTGGATTGCACATTTGACTTGCAAACCGTTGACTGGTCCCGCCCATGTGCATCAACCAGGGCCAATAGGATCCGAATAGGTTAGGTCCACAATTTTAGGGTATGAAATGGTGTGGTTCAAAACTGAAGGCCCAGGGAACCATGTGTTTGGAATAGGTTGGTCTTTGTCCCTTGAAGTTTCGCCACGCATGTGACAGGTGGAACTGTTAGTCATGGAAGATGATCATAGAAATCTCATGGTGTGGGTTGGGGCATGTGGTGGTGATAATCTCCATTTTGAGATAAGGACACCAGTCGACGTTCGTGCTTCTGACTAGTGGTACGGTGTGCCGAACATAAAAATGATATAAATTGAAGGTCTGCCCTTTTCTATTCTTTTCTGTGTATTGCAGTGCGGCAATGGATGTGTGATATACACATACCATATATCAATCATTGTGAAACCAACCTGCCTCCTGCCGGGACAATCGGGGTATCGCTGATCCGATGGGCCCTAGAGTCTCAAAAAGTGTGGACTACAACGAGGTTTAAAGAAGACCGCTATGGCCACGGCTGAATATTTTTTATCACCAAAGTTGGACTATGTTAGATAGATGGGTTTAAAGTTTAAACCCCCAAAAAACCCTGGTAGTTATACTGTTATACTTGTGCGGGTGGCCCACTTCATCCAGATGTGTCCAGCAGAAAAGACCGCCAGCAGTGGTAGAAACGGCCTGAGGTTTCAATCTATGGGACACCTGTGGATCGTTTTGGACATCCAGTTGACATAGGCATCATCCATAGTGGATATAGTGGCCCATGGGTGGTTACGAGAGGACATATCATCACATCATCTCTTCATGTCGCCTGGCTGCAGTGGCAGCGATCGCTTGACTTGATGGCAAAGGTCAGGGGCTGCTTTTTGATCTTTTTGGAAGGGCAGGATGGCAGGATGGCATGATGGTTGAGGGTGCGAGGGTTAGTTTGATCAATTTTGTGGATCCGTAGTATAAGTGCATCTATGATGTGTCTGGGAATGGGTTATATCATGTTTTTACTCCAATTTATATCAATTCATGGCAGGTCAATGGGGAAAATTACCATAAGATAAGCGAGGGCATGGAACAGGGCTTTCCCATCATTTTTGGACAAGCCCATGCCACCATACCAGGTGAAGAAATCTCATTTGAAAAGCAAGTGCCTTTGCTGCAGAAAGTGGTCCGCATCCATTTACCCAAGTTATCGACTCATATGGGTTTGTCAGAAAATTTTGGGGAAAACGGTGGAAAACCATGGAAAACCACCACAACCCAATGGTTTGTCATCATTTTCCCTAGTAAGATTGCTATTTGGGATTGTACCCCATTTTCGGACACACCTAGGTTTGCCCAAAGTTTCTGCAGCCTCAATCTGACATGCAGATGTTCGCTTCACAGGAAAGCCAAAGCGAAGGCAAAACAGGCCAGTTTTGGGGCTTTGGGGAGAGGCTTTTGGGGTGGCCAACAAATCGTTCAACAATCAATAATAACAATAATAATTTAAAATCTTATTTCAGCTTGATAATTACATCAAAACTCTTAATCCTTTCCTCCTAATACTAAACCCCCCCCCTAATACAAAACACGGCAGGTAGTTTTTAGTATTAGGGGGGTATTTATTATTAGGGAACCAAATCGAAGTCATGTTAATTAATTAATTAAATTTCCTTATATAACGCAATTAAAATATTGCCAAAAATGGCAGTTCGAAGCTTACCCCTAATACTAAATTAAAACCCTTAATACTAAAAACTATTTTTTCCGATCTCAAAATCAATTAAATTTCCTTATATAACGCAATTAAAATATTGCCAAAAATGGCAGTTCGAAGCTTACCCCTAATACTAAATTAAAACCCTTAATACTAAAAACTATTTTTTCCGATCTCAAAATCAATTAAATTTCTTTATATAACGCAATTAAAATATTGCCAAAAATGGCAGTTCGAAGCTTACCCCTAATACTAAATTAAAACCCTTAATACTAAAAACTATTTTTTCCGATCTCAAAATCAATTAAATTTCCTTATATAACGCAATTAAAATATTGCCAAAAATGGCAGTTAGAAGCTTACCCCTAATTGCTAGAGTAGCTAGGCAGCTTGGAGTGAGGGATTGGGACTAGGCCCCCCTAATACTAAACACCCCGGGGTGAACTAGTTTTTAGTATTAGGGGGGAGAACCCACAAATGGTAGGTTGATTTTTAAATTGTTTTTTAAAGGGGATCAATTAAAAGTCAAATTGGCCAAACTGAAATTTTCGGAAATTGGAGATGGATGCCTGTTTTTAGTATTAGGGGGACGTTTAGTATTAGGAGGAAGGGATTAGTAAGTGGTGCTCCCCCATTTATATTCCAGGACTCAAAGATAGAAGGTACTCCAAGAATTGTCGGAGAGCTCGCCTTCTATTTGAAATGAACCCTCCTCAACTCCCGTGTCCGTTTCAAATAGAAGAAATTGGTGTTCAAAGAGTCCAAGCAGTGAATTTCTTCTATTTGAACAGTCTGTGGACAATATCAGAAAAAACCATGCGTTTTTGAGTTTTGATGATAAACCGTGATAACATTTGATAACTGAGGGAAGTTGACACAAATTGTGCACATGTGTGCCAAAATGTGCCAAAAAAACGTGGTGTTTTCAACTTTTTTGAACTTACTCAATTTATGACAAGCCATGAGGTTGATCCCTCTCCAATGCATTGCACCACAAGTGGAGCAAGAATATAACCCCGGATTATGTAATGGTCAGGGTTTTTCATCAAACATGCTTCTCTGGCACCCACCACATTTCAAATAGAACATATTGTTGGTGAATCGGTCTGTTTTGGCAATATCTTCTATTTGAAACGCACTCGGCACTGGGGCGGTTTGGGTGACTTCTATTTGAAACAACTCTTTAATACTCTTTAATATCTTCCACGTTTGTGTCCCGGAATATATCTGAACCTTGATTTATAGCGCCCATAAATACTATAGATATATCATGATATATCCACAATAAACCCAAGTTATCGGAGCAATTAACTCATATTAGCTCCTGATCACATGACAACTTGCGGCAGCTCCAGCGTTGAGCTGGCTGATCGCCATCCCCCTGCCGATCCAAATGTTGGTTATTTGTGGCTACGGTTCTCTGATCGGCTCCAAAACACAATGCAAAACCCACCATGCTTTGAAAGCATGGCCTGTTTTCAGGCTGGTGCCTCTTCGAGTTGTTTTGTGTTTTGTTCAGATGGCCGCAGGCTGACAAAAATCGCGCTGATGGCGACGGCATGGTCGATGTGCCCAAAGAGTCGAGACATGAACTCAAGAGGCCGAGGGGCCAAGAGATCTCGAGCATTCACAATACAGTTGAACATGTTGAAGTGGACATTTACATCTGGTTGGTGGTTTGGAACCATGGAATTTTATTTTTACATTTTTTTGGGTATAATGTTTTCCATATATTGGGTATATAATGTATATAATGATCATTTCATGATCCCAACTGACTCATATTCTTCAGAGGGGTTGACCTAAACCACCAAGCAGTACATCATTTGAGGTCGCAGTCCAGGATTCCAGTCAGCTGGTTGGTTTCCAGAAAAAATCCTACCTGAATCCTGGAGAGAGAGAAAATAATCCTACCATCTACCGAAAAACCATCCAAGATATATCTTCAGAACTTGCACAAAGCCCTTTCAACTGGCCGGGTTCAGGTGAGTCCGATATGAATCATTATGAATCCCTACATTAAACATCCCCTCAATGGTCCCAAATATGTGTAAATCCCCCTACTAAACTATGGTTTCTGGATGTTTCTAGGAAAGTCTTTGCAAACTTTGACTGCCAGGCGGCATGCTGCTGAACGGAAAGCTTTGCAGGTGGACTGATCATCTATAAATCTGTTGGGTCTGTAAATCCATTCTGAGTCCAAGATGTGTCACAGCAATTTGACAATATAATTATGCTATATATGTAGTTTATATTTATACATATAAATCACACACACACATATGATGATGATGATGATGATGATTTTCACCTGTTTTCTCCAGATCCTTGGAGTCCAAGGGTTGTGGACGTTCCGGGTAGCCGCCCGCGGCGGAAGGCCAAGATTGTGGAGCTGAAGCGGCAGCGCAAGAAGCTTCCGAAGAAGAAGAACAAGGACGACAAGAAGGACCGGTGGATCTGGCGAAGTTCTGGGCAGCTGGATCTCCGGGCATACCTTTGGTGCTGTTACATGGCAAAAGGAAAATCCACGAGATATTTGTAGATGGTTTTCCCATGTTTTCCCAGCGAACTAAACCTCGGCCATAGGGATCCATGGATATCCTTAGGGTATTTTCCAGCCAGCCACGTTTGATTACCGGAGGGTACTTAAGATGAATAGAAAGTAAAGTACTGGATCTCTTGATGAATTGGGGAAGCAACCATGGAGGTTTTTGATGTTACGGCTCTTAAGGGGAAGGGATTACATGAGATGCAGTGACCTAGAAATGATCTTCCAAAACAGGTAGGTAAGGTGGTCTTCCTTATATTATTACATATATAATATTACATGCATGTATGTGTGCCTGTATGTCAACTTGGATGTATCTTAGATGGGCAATGGTGGACTGGATTAAACAGCCCCATTCGAATAATATAGGGATTTCACATGATTTCACCCACCAGAATAGGCATCTCGTCGCAGGCCCTGAGCGAAGAAATCAAGAGCCTGACCAGCGCCTCGAGGGGTGGAATCTCAGGGCAGGTAACCGTTTCAAACAGAGCAGGGATGATGGGGGAAGCATTTGCAAGTGATAGCTTACTTTTCATCATAGTTTGATATATTATATTGTATTATCTATATTTAATATATACTGTATATATATATGTGTGTGTTTTACGGGGTTAGACTTTTGGGTTCTCGTGTAAAAAGAGTAGAAGGGTAGTATCATGCTTGTTATTTGTGGCCATTTCAATGGGGCTATGTTGGCCAATCCAGCTAATAATAAGAGAACCAACCATGAGGCGCTCTCATCATGGGGCAAAAAGGCCAAAAGTTGGTTGATGAAAGGAGGAGCAACTTTCAGTAGATGGTGCTAAAATAAATTGTCCTTTTTCCTGCAGAGATCATTGATCCTTCTTGTGTGGACGATGTAATTGGACGATATTGGAAGTATATCAGCAGTCACTGATGTTCAGAAGCCTCAACTGGACCCGGCCAACCATGGTTGTCGAGGCAGCTTTTTCTGGTCCCATGGGCCTTGTGTTCTTCTCCATGAATACATATTCATATTATATATATACATATGGGTAGAATCTAACATGTCATAGCCCCAATGCCAAGCTCTTGCCTTTGAAATTGGCCCACAGTGACGGGCTTTAGCCGCATTCACCTCCTGGAGTCACCTTCCATTCGAAGTTCCGCCTTCACGACCCCCACTTCCTTTTTTCCTGCAGACTTTTATCATTCCCCATATTTACCCCCCAAACTAATCAAACATGGCTTGCTGGAAAATTCGAAAATTCAGCGTTTAGTGCGATGACTTTCCCAAAAAGAAATGCTCAGCAAATTGCCCAGTCATTTTTGGGAAATTTCCGGATAGCTATGTTTCAGTACCGGAGGGTAATCATCATTAATCATCCTTACATACTCATGACGTACTCATGACATCTCATGACTCATCACCAATCACGATTAATCCACTGCCATTGGGAAAAAAACGTGATCTGGTCATGAGTCATCAACAAGGGAGTTCCCATTTCAGGGACATTATCCACTCTCAGGGATTTCCCATTAATGTCAACCCCGGATTAATAAAACATGGTTTATTGATTAGAGGGGTACTCCAATAGTCATAGTCTGATACTTAAATGGTACCCTCCCAATTAAACAGCCTAGAGGTTTATTAATCCAGGGTTGACATTAATCAACTGAAACATCAACCACTTTCATACCGTTCATCATGGCGCTTCTCCGCCTCTCAGGCGCGCTCAAGAAGCGTCATGCGGACGAGCTGCAGCACTCGGGCCTGAACGTACAGGACGGTGAGGGGATGGATACTGTGGATGTTGCGAAATCCGAAAAGCCAGTTGATAGGTGGAAAACATCCTGTTGTTGATAGGCTTTCAGCCATTCTTTTGGTTGTGCAGGATTTCTCAACGATCCACACCATCAAAGATCGGTACAGGAGCATAACCCACCAACATAAAATAGAGATAGACTATAAAATTAGCTACAATTATGGTTAAAACATTGCCCAGTATGCAAGAATTACCTCCAATGGACATCTTTAGTATTGGATTATATATATATACATAATTTAAATATATTTGTTTTGAGGGCGCATTGGTAGGAATAATCCGGCACTATAAACCATACAGTTGAGTGCATTGGGGGTGATTGATAATTGGGCTTCCTACACAAGATAATTGAGCTGCTTGAGCTCTGGAAATTCAATAGGGCCACGAGAGCCTTTCCTCTTTCTGCTGGAATTGATGTTTTTCTGTTGATCTTCCACTGATTAACGTTCTAAGAGCCATCCAGCAGGAAAGATTGTTGTGAATGCTGGAAGTGATGTTTGCTGAAGCGGAAAAACTAATTTGCATCCTTACTTCCTGCAGGGGCTACTTGATATGAAGAAGGTAAAATGAATCAGTCTCTCTTGTATTACTGGTCCTTTTTGCGCAGACAATTTTGGGAAAATTCTTGATTTTTTTTGCAGATTGTCGCAAGCCCGGGGTGGCAGGAGGGAGAAGATGAAAGCGGTTCAGAGGATTTTGAAGAAGACGACGAAGATATCTAAAAATAAATATTATTTTTGGATCTTATTATATATATTCAAATATATAATAATATATATATATACAAAAATTTAAAATAATTAAAATTATATATTATTATTAATATATAAATAACATATATAAATAATATATAATTAATATATAATTGGAATTAATTAATTTTAAAAATATATATAAATATATAATATTATAAAATATAAAAATTTATAGATATGACATTTATTTATGTATTTTATTTTGAATATATATTTATGTATTAGTAGATGCGCGAATGATTGGGCACTTTGACGTAAAATTGCTTTTATTGATATTTATGGAACCCCCCCCCCGTAAGAAGCAATCTCGTAATGATGGGGTAAATCTTTCTTGTCTTAGATAACACTTTGTTGTCTTTTCGGGGTACTATGCGGAAGAAATAACACAACAATTGGAATAAATTATTACATAATTTATTATTTGATATGATTTTTACAACATAACGCATAGATACGCAGGGATTCTTAATATGGCAAACATTAATTATATCAAATTATATTTATTTGTCCCCTAATAATCCCTGGAGCAACGTGAATTTCCCACACAATGTGTATACACTCGGGGGGTCTTATGATCGAGCCTTTTCTTCCTCCTTTTCTTCCTTTTTTTCCTCAATATTATTATTTTCTTCCTCCTCCACATTATTATTTTTAGCATTATCCTCATCCTTCCCCTTGACATCATCTTTAATATCGTCATCCTCCACCTTATTTTTTACAACATCCTCCTCCTCAACCTCCTCTTCCGTAATATTAATTATTATCCTTTCGATCCTCCTCCTTAACATAATTATTCTTAACATCATTATCTTCTTCCTCCTTAACATCGTTATCCTCTACCTTATTATCCTCCACCTTATTATCCTCCACCTTATTATCCTCCACCTTATCTTCTGCAACATTATCCTCCTCTACCTTATTTTCCGGACCTTATTGCTTGGATTTTTCGGACCTATTTACATCGTTTTTATTATTTACATAATTTTTGATTTAACGTGGGGAGATATGGGGTGGGTTTTGGCTGGGATAATAAAATAAAATTCCGGTACCTCGTCGGCTATTTCGTCCGATACTTCGTCCAAAAATCTTTGCAAAATTATAATTTTGATATTATATATATATATATTCCATATATTTTGGATTCTTTTATAACAGGGCCATTGAGATTTGACTCCAAATTGACAGGTCATACCTTCCCATATTCTGATTCCTATTATAGCTAAATACAATTAGGGACATGCTTTAAAATTTACAACGATTTCGTGAAAATCTTCTACTTTCCTGTAAGTGTGCCACTGGGATTTTATTTTTTCTTGAAAATAAACACCTTTTAATTTATTTCTTTTGAAAATACCAGAGCGCAAACTGGTAATGCTGTTTTAATGCTTGGCTAAGCTTTTGATCTGGAATTGCTTTTGGCGGTATGCCATTGGAATTTAACTCCAGGTTGATAGGTCACACCTTCCCATATTCTGATTCCTAGTATAAATAAATACAATCTAATAATATAATTTAAAATTTACAACCATTTCCAGAAAATTTTCTACTTTCCTGTAAATGTACCATTGGGATTATATTTTTTTTGAGAATGGACACCCTTTAATTTGTTTCTTTTGAAAATACCAGAATGCAAATTGGTGATGCTGTTTCAATGCTTGGCTAAGCTTTTGATCTGGAATTGCTTTTGGTGGTATGCCATTGGGATTTGACTCCAGGTTGAGAGATCGTACCTTCCCATATTCTGATTCCGGGCATAGTTAAATGCAACCTAATAACATAATTCAAAATTTGTAACAATTTCGTGAAAATCCTCCATTTTCCTGTAAGGGTGCCATTGGGATTTTAATAGTTTTTTGAAAATGGACATCCTTTATTTTATTTTTTGGGAAATATCAGAACGCAAATTGGTGATATTGTTTCAATGTTTGGCTAAGCTTTTGATCTGGAATTGCATTTGGCGGTGTACCATTGAAATTTGATTCCAAATTGACAGGTCGTACCTTCCCATATTCTGATTCCGGGCATAGCTAAATGAAACCTAATAACATGATTCAAAATTTGCAACGATTTCAAAACATGATGTATCCGAGCCGTTATCCCTTGGGAATTTGACACCTGGGGTAACTACTGTCTGCCCTGGGGTAACTCGGTGTGCCTTGCGGTTGGGGTAACTAATGGGTAAATGGGGTAACTTAGGGCGTCTGCTTATATATATATTATATTTTAATTTATATTTATATTATTATTAATTAATTATTATAGGTATTATTTAATAAATATTTAATAAATTTTTGCTAGTAGATTACTTTTGAATTATATATTTAATTTTAAATTTCGAATACATTTAATATTTCGATTTAATTTTAATTATATTTAATATAATAAAAATTATTTTAAAAAAAATATATAAATAAAATTTTAATAATAATTAAAAATAATATATTATAATTTAAAATAAAAAAATATAATTATAATTTGTGGATCGTTACATATCCGAATATTTAATAATGAAAAAAAAAAAATGCAATAAATAATTTCATAAATTAAAATAATTCCATATAATTCAGGAATTACGAATAACAAATATAAAAATTAAACAAATTTAATTCTAAAATAAATTCTTAATTTCTAATTTATTTATTTGTATATATATAATAATTCTATCCTAAAATCTAAGAAAATAATATATCAAATATTATATAAATATAATATAATTAAATAATAATTAAATAATAATTAAATAATGAAATATATTAAACATATTAAGAAGATTTCAACCTATTAAAATTTCAAATGATCTATTATAATTTAACCCTCAATTAACAATTTCATACAAAAATAAATTTTAATTTAAAATCGAATACAATACTATAATTTATCCCGTATATTCGTAATATTTAAAATAATATAAATATATATTTTATTTATATTAATTATATATTAAATTATTTAAATTAATTATATATTATTTAATAAATATTTATAAATTAATATAAATTATTAAATATTATTATTAAGACAAATTAATTCCTATAAATTAATAAATTATAAAATAATTAGATTTTAATTTTCAAAAATCAATTTAATTTATTATAATTATTATTAATATTTATATTTAATAATATATAATTTTATATTATTAATTTATATAATTATATTATTAAATAATAAATTATTAAAATATAATTATATTATATAAAAAAAAATCCTATTTTTAAAATTATAATCGATTTCTTTTTTATTTTATCAAATTAAATATATTTTAAAGGGGATATACATACGAAAGGTAAATTATCAAAAAGGAGAAATACGATTTTTCTGGATAAAAATTATTTATATGTAAATTATTTGTAATTTATAAAAATTAATTTTTTTTATATATTAAAATATTTATGTATAAAAAAAATATATATAATTTTTTTTATGCATAAGATTCCAAAATGGCAATTTTTTTAAATAAAAATCACAAATCTAAATAAATAAATAAAAAAATATATATTTTATTTTTTTTCGTAAAAATTTTTATACAACAATTTTATTATTAATTAATTTAGATAATTTTTTTATAAATAAAATAAAAAATGTATGTGGTTTGTATATATAAATTTTTCTATATTAAATAATCTTTGTATAAATAAAAAATATATAAATATTATTATAAATAAAGATTTTTTTATAAAATAAATTTTATTATGTGCCTTTATTTATATATATTTTAAATATAAAAATATCATTATATAATATATTATAATATATTTATATGTCACAACTATTTTTTCTTAATATAAAAATTTGTGTATATAAAAATATATATATATAAAAATTATTAATATATAAATTTCTCTATCTAAGAAAATTTACGCATAAAAATTATTCCATGTAAAGGTTTCTATGCGTAATTTTATTTGTTTTTTACTTTTATTACCGTTAATAATAATAACAATAATATATAATAATAATTATTTTAAATTAATTTCTAAAAACCTTCGAAACAAATTATATATTTTCTTCGAGTAATCCCCATTACGTAATATTTATTTAATATATTATTTGTTATATTATTTAATATTTATATTTTATTTCATATATTTTATATAATTTTTTCTGGTATTCTATCTTATATATTTTCAGATCCGGCGAGTAATATTCTAATTATAAATTTCATTGTTTTTGTTATTGTTTTTATTGTTATTGTTGTTGGTGTTGTAATTGTGGTTTCTGTGGTTGTAGTTTGTTATTGTTATTATTTATATTGTTGTTAATTGTGTAATTTTTTTTTTCAATTTCGTAGTGGTCAAAAATCGTCAAATAAATTATTTTTTTTATATTTTTTTAAAATTCTCGGAATAAAAAATACCGTAAATATTAATGATTTTTTACACCTCGGAGCATGGTATTTACGGCACCGCCTCGTTTCTGGTAATAAAAAATCACGGTATTTACAATATATTTTAACCAATGCATGTCAGTGCCTAGCAAAAACACTGGTATTTATACAATGTTCAACATATTACAAGAATTTTTTTTTTCCCATGCCAAAGGCAGTGTTTTGGGTCTACTCTTAGGGTTTGTAGAGGGGACGGAAGGAGGGGGGTCTTGAAATGAACAGCAATCGCCTAAATAATCAAGTACCTGGGCTGGTCAGCCTTCCCTTTACTTCGTAAAGTTAAACTCAATGTAGCACCACTGGAACTACCTAATTTCCCACAAGATATTGTCACATACATACATCCCGTTCGAAATCATTCCCACTCAAAAAAGTGTTGGTTTATTTGGTGAATACAAGATTTTTGGGTTCGTAACTATTTGTTGAACCATTTTTAAGATAATCTATGATGATCTTACAATGTCCATGATAGATGGATTCATTATTCCTCTGTTGGCCGCATCCACGCACTCCATGTCTCTAACTGAGGGCCTGGAGTATTGCAAGAAAATCGCCTCTGATGTCAAATGTGTTTTGGCATGT